TGCAACGGCGTTCTTCCGTTGCCACCAACTCTAGTGCAAATCTAGAAAAACTAGAGAAGACTGCCTCAAACTCGGCCACGGGCATGTCGAGTTGTTTAAGGTCTTTAAACTCTTGCCTCAATCTCTCCATAGCAGTGAGAGGTATGTACTTATCTTGGAAAGCAACCACAAAGGCTTCCCATGTCGGCTCCACTCTAGCCTCGGCATATTTCCACCATTGACCCGCGTCTCTCTTAAGGTAGTAACTCGCTAGAGTCACTCTTAGTTCACTATCTTCGATGCGAAGCATCCCAAATGTCTTCACAGTTTGTTCAAGCCACTCATCCGCTTTCTTGGGCTTGGGACCACCATGGAACTCATCCGGTTTGGCTCGCAAGAACTCTCTAGTAAGGAAACTCGCCCTTGACTCCATGGTGTTCTCTCGGGCTTAATTCTCCACCTCAACAAGTTCATGGACTCTCTTAAAGCCCTTACCATTTCTCGAGCTAGGACCCCCATTGCGGTTTGACCTGCTTGCCCGGGATTCCCGCCTGCCCCACTTGTTCGGCCACATTAGCTTGGCTGGACTCTTCCTCTTACACCGGAACCTCATGGACCGGTACCTCATGCACACCTCGGTGAGCCCTACCACGCCTCCCGCCTCTACCACCACGGGTTTGACCTCTTCTTGACATCCTGTAAATGACAATAGAATTAATTTAGCACACTAACCCACACATGCCCACAACTTTCCTTACATGTTTGATCACAATAATTCTATATATTCCTCTACCATATAACAATTAAATTTCACCTTACATAAGCACTTAGTCATGTAAACACATACGGATTACACTCTTATGATGAGATTCGTCCCACGAAAAACCAAGAATTCTTAATAGAATGAGTATTGATCAAGTACTCTTCTAATAAGACCTCAAGGAATTTAACAAGCTCAAACAACATCCCAAAAGTCCAATCTCATACCCATTTAGTCACATAAGCATGTTATCACATAGTCACAAAATGCATAACACTTCCTAAGTATGCTAAATGAACCCATTGTGGTTAAACAACCACTTCCCACGAGCTCTAAGTATTCAAACTCAGTAGCTCTGATACCAAGTTGTAACGCCCCAAATTTCTAACCCATATGATAATACAACAATCATGGCTCTTTCAAGGAAAACCAAATATAAATTTCTAAACTTACATTACATGATACAATAGTTCTTCATGCAATAATACATTAATCCAACAACAAGTAAATAAACAAATAAATACCCCCAAGGGTTTACAAGTTTCCAAGGCTTGAGCCTGGTTACACAAAACGGTTATTTAAACCCACACACATACAGCTTTTGGCTAACACACAGAGTCACAATAAAATGAGAGTCTCGTACTCTCAACACACATTTCCTCGACTTTAGTTAGGCAGCATCACCGCATGTTTTCCTGCACAAAAATCCCACAGGGTGAGCATAAAGCCTAGATAGAAATCCTTAACAAAGTATATACATTTTATACAAGTTTCAAGAGATGAAATACACATGCCATGCTATGCCCTTTTGAAAGAAAATCACATCTTCATCTTTGAAAACCATCATGCTCAATGATGTCATGCAATTTCAATTCTTCAAAACCTAACAATTCATTTCAAAAGCGGTAAATACGACTTTGGTAATCCCTAGGTCAGCAAGTAGACTATACAAGTACTACCAACTTGTCATTTTTACCGGTATTAACTAGAAGGCTCGACACCTATCCGTGTGGATTTTCGGTCTTTCACCCCGAACTTTCAGGCCAACTTATTCAATATCATCTACACCACCTATCAGGACTTACTAACGTATTTACCTCAAAACCATTCCATGAAAACTTGTTTCTCAACATTCTTTTCTCAATGCAAATTTTCATATCAACTTTCAAAGTTTAATGTAATCAAATGAATTGATATAGCAATAACACAAGATGAATATAAATACTTTTATTCCAATTCATCATCCAAGGAATAACACAATTCCCTCTTCTCAAGTATCCTCAACAATTAGTCATTTCAAGACTATTTCAACGTTTTGGACAATAATTTTCAAAATGAACTACAATTCTCATATTCCCTGAAATTCATCATTTATATAAATATAAATAAGAAATTTTCCAAACATCTATTTATTTTGACATACAAAATAAATATAATAATATCATTCATGAATTTTCAGTCTCTTTTAAAAAAAAATGCCCAAATTCTAGGTTTTCTCACCAAAACTATACAACTCAAATATTTTGAAAGAAAACTTTCCAAAATCCTCTTTTCTTCAATCAACGAAGATCAAAACCCATAAGATCATTTTAAAAGAACAAAAGACAAACCCACTTTCAAAATCGCTCAACTTCTTGAATCAATAATCAATTTTCAAAGCTATCGAAAGATGATTTCAAAAATCATATAGATCTTGCAAAAATATATATATAACTCTAAGAAAATCCCTACTTCAAGTTTTGAAGAAGAAATGAGATGAAACCCCCAAAATCAACGATGTCGAAACTCGATCTTCACCGCACATGACGAAACCCTCGAGAAGTTAACCAACTTTGATGAAGAACCTATGGCAGAACTCCAATGGATCTTGAGAAATTAAGGTTTTGATCCAATTTGGCGTAGGGAAATGTAGAGAGAAGGGAGAAGAAAGGGTTTTTAGAGAGAGAGAGAACTGAAAAAGTGATCTGAAATCTCCCCTTACGAACTGATATAACATGGTCCGCTTGAGCATGGAAAGCCCTGCTCGAGCGTCGAATACACTTTCCCAACACTTTTGCAGACATGCCAAACTTCTGGAACCAAACATTCTCCGCTCGAGCGCATAAACAACCGCTCGAGTGGACAAGCAACTTCGAATGCATTTTGTATTTTTGCTTCGGCGAGTTGACCGGGCAGCTCCACCCCCGTAAGCTAGCCGAGTGTAGACACCCCATTTTTGACCGCCCTTAAGACTTGGGCGTTACTGATGGTTTACTTGGTGATAAAAGGTGTGCAGGTGTAACAAGTCCGCGAGGGGACCCCGTTACAGTTCAGACTCTCGATTTTGCTGTCGCGGTTCTTAATCTTGAACCAAAGAGTCCAAATCTGGCAAATCGTTTTGAGAAACAGATTTTTGAAAAAGTAGTGCCAAACATGGACTGCTTTGCCAGATACAGAGTCGCCACCTAAATATTTTTTAATGGGGAAATTTAGGAAACCCTGACTCGGTGCTGAAGGCCACATGTCCGTCATCACCGGAGTTGTCTCGGCTCGGGAGCTTGGGTACGATCGGGGAAGGTCAGCTATGAGCACCCCCTTTCGCCCGATCCGAAGACCGGCCTCTACTAACCATGATATCCGATTTTGAAGACGTTATGTGTTCTTATCCCATTTATTAACCTAGAATTACTATGTTATGCGCGCAGCAAACAAGTATAGACTAGCTTGCCTAATTTGGAAATAAGCATTGCATATCCGTTCGGTTTAAAAAAAGTGCTTTGGAATTTGCTACCCGCAAGTAGACTAAAACACGGATTTCAATGAGTTTTTCCGACTCAAACAACCCAACCTTCACCCACAAGCATTCAAACAGTTTATCATATATGCATTTAGCCACATGGCAAGCATACTGTCATGGCAACACTCACACGCATGCGGGATGCTAAAGCAAAAATACTTACATCGTACTCCGTGCCAAAACAGTAAACTAGTTAGCAAACATGCATGTCCTAGTCTATGTCAAGTTTGACTAATGCAACACATGCAGGATGCAATTAGAGTAGGCTCGGCTAACCTAAACATGGCATGTGAAATGCGATCAACTGTCACATATTCAATTTGTGAATTGAAGTACAAATGCAGTTAGCGTGATGTACCGAGCCTAATGCATGCAATACAAATGCATAAATGCTCGCATACATAGCATAAGGTATGCTAAATTAAATGTGCCCTAATCTACCATCGTAAGCAGGTAAATAAAAGGGAAGAAAGACGCGAGGTTGGAAGACATACACACACTCATGCACATTTATTACATAATTGCCCTCACTCGGAGGATACAAATAAATATTACAGTCCCAAATAATAAGCAAATAAAATTATTACAGAATTTCTAATTAATTAAAAGAAAGAATGCAAAAGAAAGAAGAGGGTGGTCGCAGCCTCTGCCTCGGGATGCGCGAATGATGTGTGCTCGGAAACCGGCTCGCCTGAAAAACTCGTACCATATCTCTTCCACCTCTGTTTACACTGCCCTGTCTTTCTGAAAATCGCCAAAACCCTAGGACAGGTTCCTTGAATGTTGCAGAGTACCACCGGCTTAACAGAATTCCCACCGGCAGTCCAGGATTTCCATCGGCACTGTTTTGATTTACTGGCCATTCAAAGATTGCCGGCCGGCACTGAATTCTGCCGGTCGGCAGAAACTTCCTGCAGAAGACAGTTTTGACAGCAAACAGAGAACAGACAGTGCATGGCATGGGGTTTCAGGCATATGTGAGCATGGTCATGCTTCCCATCATGCTTTGAACTCAAAGAAGCATGACCCTCGATCCTCGAGCCATCAATGGTGCATGATAGCCCAAGGGATCAAATTTGCCACTTAATGTAAAGATGCATGCAACATACAAATGAGATTCAAAGCCTTATCATGTCGAAGTCAAAGGCCCCGGGGACCGAGAGTTAAGGCGTGTTTCATCACTTGTAGTATGAACACTCCTTAACACTCACACTTGGTTTGACACCCCAAACCAAGCAATGCAATGCATGTTATGCAAACATGGTTCAAATGCAACATGATACCAATTATTCAAGTCATGGCAAATGTTATGGAACTATCATGACAAATATGCAATGCTAAGCATGCAAGGTGCAAATGTGATGCAAACATGGACCAATTTGCCATAAGGATAGCATGGGACTACACATTTATGAAACAATTATGAAACGAGAAAAAGAAAGTGACCAAAACTTTGAAATATGCCTTTTTCCTTACAAAGGATACAAAGAACAACACAATGAAAGCCACCACTGAAATAAAGTTGGTCCAGTTAACTTCTAAACACATTCTATTTAACTAGCCATACCTCAATATCCTGCATAGAAGCTCCATCTACAGAATTTGAGACATCATGGGATGATGAATTTTCAAAGCTACTCCTGCAATTATTAAGCATATACAAGAAATCAAATTGACCATCAAAGTGCTAACTCAAAACTAGATATGTAGAAAACTAGAGCAACAGAAGAAATCCGTACACTGGCATAGTATCAGTTGCAACTAAAGCAGCAGATGAGGGTGTGATAGTTGCACCAACAGAAGAAGTAATAACTGCACTTGTTGCAGCAGAATGTGCAATGGGAAAGGCTGAGGATCCAGAAACCACCACAGGAGCAGCATTAACAGCAACAACTGGCGTAACTGGAACTGGGCTTGAAGTTAGCCCGGATATTGTTGAAGAAGAGATGGAGCTAACCGAAGTTACTGCAGTAGATGATCGTTCCACAGAAGAGATGGTGACATTTTCCATTGCATTAGAAGTCGTAATAATTTCTGGTTGTGTTCCTTGGCTAGCTTCTTTCTCAGCTTGTTCACGAGCCACCTTAAAGCAAGCACACAAACATAAGACGAAAAAGCAAAATAGAAAAGGCATTTTGAAAGGGAAAAAAGGTAGTAACAAGTCAAGCTAAGAAACCTTCAATTCCTCAGGAATTTGCCATTTAGATTGCTTTGTAACCTTATTGTAGTAGTACCTACAAAAGTCAACCCAAATTATATCAATAATGCAAGTTAAATCCCAATATCAATAATTCAAATAACAATTATATTTATATCCACAACGAAATTTAGTTATAATGCACTTTCTACCATCTGGAGTTGTGAATTCCTTCCGCACAGTTGATGCATCAGTCCTCTGTTGAAATAAAAGAATTTTATCATATAATGTTCACCTAGGAGGAAATAAAAATTACATGTAATATTTTAGAATAAAATAATAATCACTAAGAACTGAAGTGCATAAATAAATAAAAAAAAGGCAAGTGTACATTTACATATGACCGAAGGCAAAAATAAGAATCCTATATACAATAGAAAGAAAAGACACACTACCTCCAAGTCCTTCAAGTTTTCTAAGAAGAGGTTAATTTATTGGGTAAAAACAAAAGAAGGATTAGACTAAGTGTTATGTAAACCTCAAATTCATACATATGAATGAATGAAATGCATGCTTCCTTCCTGTTACCACATGTATGTAGGAAAATAATGTTGGGGAATTTTCAAAATGGTTTTTAAAATTTATAGTTTAATTTTTGGGTGTTTTAAAAACCTTCCTTGTTTTTCTTTGGAAAGCTTGAAATAAGCTTGGAAACTTTGTCCCACATTGGAAAGAAAGCAAAACATGGAACACTTAATAAAGTGCTACATGGAATATTCATTTGAATATGAAATTGTGAGGTGAAAGCTAGTGTGTGTGCACTCGCACCGCAAGGATGGTGAAGCACCATCCGCACACGCACACGCTCGTGCGTATGGCGTGGGTAGTGGGCTATGTGGCGTTTGATGGCACACTTTGCACTTGGCAAGTGTAGACACCGCATTTTTGACCGCCCTTAAGACTTGGGCACTACTGATGGTTTGCTCGGTGTTGAGAGATGTGCATGGCAAAGAATCAGTTTCTTCGGCTAGAAGAGAGGCAAATCTTTCAAAACACTTTGTTTAGGGGTTTGGAGTTGAAGAAAAGAGGAAAGGAGAGGAGAAAACTAGTTTGGGAGAAGCTCGGCACGAATCCGGGTAAGAAAGAGTTGAGTAGCCCTCGCTGAATCGGGCTTATTCATTTTCATACTTGGATTTTAGCTATGAGGCCACCACCGTTGGAAAGCTTACTTCCGGGGCTTCATTTTTCACTCAAGAATCTCCTAAAACCAACTCCAAGTGGGGGAGATATGGTTGATTGAAGTAGGGCATCACTCCGGTTGGACCGAATCTGCGCGGCTTCACCAAAAAGGGCATAACGTTTTGCACAAGAGGAATTTTAATGTAAGGTTTACGCCATTGGAAAGCTAACTTCTGGGGCTTCAATCTGGATACCCACTGGCCACTTTTTGGCTTTGGCAGCCACCACCGGCCATAAATTTATCCAACCGGCCAAATAGATAGCCGACCGACCAATTTTGCTGGCCGACGACCTTCCGGTATATTCTACAGATTGAGTGGATGCCAGCTGTGCTAGCTGGAGGGCACAGACTAGATCCTCCATACACGTGTATGGAGGATCTTTGCTCTTGGTTTGAAGCTTCTAAGAGAAGCTTTAGTCTCTTGGCTCTATAAAGGAAGCCTTTCACCTCCATTTTCAAGGGTTAGAGATTTTTGCTAAGGCACACAACCATCTTCCTCCATAGCTCTCCCTTCCAAGCTCTAAAGTCCATTATCCTTGGCCATTTACACACCAACTCATAGCACCACACCTCCACCCTCCATTCCAGCCCTTTGAAGCCAATTTCCAGAGGCTAAGAGCACCATTTCTTGGATCAAAAGTTGTTGAAGACTTAGCCTACAAGGGTAAGTCTCTTTTCCGTCTCTTTTAGCTCTATTTTGCATGCTTTCTTAGCCTTTGTTGCTTGCATTTTTGGGCTCTGACCCAAATTGTAAATAGTCTTATTTTGAGCTCGTCTCCATGTTTGATCAAGGACTTTTCTCTGTTTGAGGTCTTCTCCTCACCCTTTGTGTTTAATCTCTCTTTTAGGGCCATTTCTTGCATGATATTTTAGCCCTACTTGTGATCATTTTCGAGACTTGCTATAAACTGTAAAGTGTCTTTTTTTTAGCCCTTCTTTAACTTTGTTGAGGGCTCATTGCTGTTTGAGGCCATCTACTGTCCCTTGTCTCCAATCTCTCTTTTAGGGCCATTTTTGCATGATAGATTAGCCCTATTTGTGTTTGTTTTTGAGATTTGTTATAAACTGGAAAAAGTTTTGTTTTGAGGCCCTCTTGATGTTTGATTAAGGGCATTTTCTTGTTTGAGTTCATATGCTTCCTTGTATGCTTGATTGCCTCTTATTTTGAACCTTACACCTAAGCTCTTGTTGCATGCTTTGTTTGGCCTTCTAGCCACTGAAATCTAGTGGATTTTTAGTGGCTAGCACACTATTTTGAGCCTCAAAATTAGAGGGGGGTGACCCCCTCTCTCCTTGCCTTGTTTGATGGTCTTTTTGGCCTTCCAAAGAGACCCTATCTTGCATGTTTCCCAGCCACATTTCAAGGTCAATTTAGTAAGTTTTGGAGCTATCATATTTGATTTTCAGAGTTGTTTGTGCCATGCTAAGTGTCCATCTTGTGTGTGCCTAAGAATCCCTTGCATAGCTCTCCAAAGGAGCTCATGTTTTTGCATGTGTTGGCCTCATTTCAGTGGTTATTTGGGCCTATTTTCACATGTTTTATTCACTGATTTTTTCTGGTTTGGTGAGATTCCATGTGTATCCTATACTTGCCATATAACTCATGTTTGCTAGCCAATCTTGCACGCTATTTTAGTCCATCTTGCTAGCACTTTTTGGCCATGCTTTGAACTGGAAATGTTCATGTTTTGGGACTGCCTTGGCTCTTTCTTTATACTTCATGATCAAATAATTCATGCTTTGTATAGCTATAAGTCATTCCATATGCCTAGTTTTGAGTTTCGGGGTTTGTCTCATGCATCGGGTGCTATTTTTCCATGTTTTGGGGCTGTTTAGCATCATGTTTCAGTGCTAAAATCATATGTTTGTATGCCATATTGCATCCCTTTCCATGCCTTGGTAGAGTCGCATTTTATGCCTTAGGTTCGGTCCTCAGTTTGCGTGCATGTGTGCACGCATTTCGATTGTCTCATTTTCATCTAATGGCCACTGATTTTGGCATGCTTGCGAGCTATCCATGTTAGTTTAAGTCCATCATCGCATGTGGTTGTATGCCATGTATGCTTACATGTTTAGGTTGTGTGCCTATTGCATATTAGATGCATTGCATAATCATGTTGCATTAGCCTTGCTTGCGTGCTTAGGTTGCATTATATTGTGCATGCATCCCTTGCCTCTTGATCAAGCATGATAGAGGTTGGGGCCTTTGATGTGTTTTGTGTGTGCATTCCATTTGATATCGAAGTTGCTAACTTGGCCTCTTAGGCCATCATTCATCAAAATGCATAATTGATGGCCCGAGGGTCGAGAGCCATGCTCCCTTGAGTCCATTACATGATAGGGAGTGTGTCCATGCATACATTTGCCTAAAAATTCCATGCCATACACTGCTTGCCCTCTGCTGCTGTCAATTGCAGGTTCTGCAGGAAGATTTGGCCGGTCGGCTAAATACAGTGCCGACCGGCCAATAATCTGTGGCCGATAGATCAAAAGGCAGCCGGTGATCATCCCCTTCGGCCGGTGGAATTTTGTCCTAGCCGGTGGTATTCCCTAACATCCAGAGAGCATACTCTTGAACTTTGGCAGTCCCCAGAGGAGCAGGGCAGTGTTAATAGAAGCAACAGTGCTATGGCAGCGAATTTCCGGGCGAGATGGGTCAAGCATGCATCATTCACGCATTCCGAGGCAAGGCTGTGGCCCCCTTCCTTTTGCATTTAATTTGTTAATTAATTATAAGTTCTGTAATAATTAATTTAGTATTATTTATTCGGACTGTAATATTTATTTGGACCCTCCAAGCGAGGGCAATTGTGTAATAAGTGTGCGTGAGTGTGTGTATGTCTTCCAACCCCACGTCTTTCTTCCCTTTTATTTACTAACTTTCAATGGTTAGTCTAGGGCATGTTTCAATTAGTATACAGTATGATAGCATGTTCGCATCCATTCATTCGTTTTGCATGCACCGGACTCGGCGCATCATTCTAACTGCATTTGTATTTCAATTCCAAATTGAATACGTGTTAGTTGTAGCATTTCACATGTCATTGTAGATTAGCCGAGCCTATCTTAGTTGCATTTTGCATGTGTTACATTAGCCATCTTAACATGAACTAGGATCATGCATATGATTACTAACTAGTTTCTGTTTTGGCTTGGAGTACTCTGTAAGTCCTTTTGCTTTAGCATACCGCATGCGTGTGAGTGTTGCCATAATAGTATGATTACCATGAGGCTAGATGCTTGTGTGATATAACTGCTTAAGTGTCTGTGGATGGAGGTTGAATTACCTAAATTGGAATAATGCACTAAAAACTGTGAGTTTTAAGCCCACTAGATAGTGGCAAAACCATCTTTTCTAAAGCCCACTTGAGGGTGGCAAAACTTGCATTTTAGCCTACTTGCGAGTAGCAAACCATCTTCAAAACGAACATGCAATGTTTTATTCCCATTTAGGCGATTTGGTCTATACTTGTTTGCTACACGCATAACATAGTAATTCTAGGCTAATAAATGGAATAAGAACACATAACGTTTTCAAAACTGGATATCAGGGTTAGTAGAGGCCGATATTCGGATCGGGCGAGAGGGGGTGCTCATAGCTGACCTTCCCCAATCGTACCCAAGCTCCCGAACCGAGGCAACTTTGGTGATGACGGACACGTGGCCTTTGGCACCGAGTCAGGGTTTCCTAAATTCCCCCATAAAAAATATTTAGGTGGCGACTCTGTATCTGGCAAAGCAGTCCATGTTTGGCACTTCTTTTTCTAAAAATCTATTTTCTTAAAACAATTTGCCGGATTTGGACTCTTTGGTTCAGATTAAGAACCGTGAAACAAATTGAGTCCGAACTGTAGCACGAAGGCCTCACGTGGGCGCGTCTACACCGAGTAGCTCCACCCTTGACATACTCAGTGAAGTGGCAAAACATGAAAGAATTAACTTCCGATACAACTCTGCAAGGCACAATTCGGGTTGGATTCCCATCTAAAGGTTTGGAGACATTACCTATTCCAAACACACCACTATAACCTAATAAACAAAAATAAGGAAAATACAAGAGAAACTAAGATACGTAACACCGTTCAAACCATACCAACCCGAGCCTAGAACACCAGAAGAGACGGGTCAAAATCGGGATCGCTCCAAACTTCGAAGGTGTTTTGTGCTTCGAGAATAGTAAGCCGATACTTGGTGGGTTCATGGATTCTGATATGGCCAGTGATGTTGATTCTAAGAAATCTACTTCGGGGTATCTGATGACTTTGCAGAGGGAGCTGTGACATGGCAATCTAAATTACAAAAATGTGTTGTGAAATACCATTGGATTCGTAATGTGTTAAATTCAAAATTGTTACAACTCGAAAAGGTTTACACGGATGATAATATTTCAGATATGTTGACTAAGACTTTGTCGATGGACAAATATTTGAAGTGTTGAACTTTGGCGGATATGGTTGATGTCTTCATCTAAGTTGGTAGGTGGAGAATTGTTGGGTATACCTCCTTATTGGAGAATGGACCCAATTAGTTTATTAAAAGAATTTAATTTGGTTTGGTGTTAGTTATAATATATTTTTCATATATTATATCTGACTTTTGGAGACCCAATAGGTATTTAATAATCTGTTTGGTGACAGTTAGAGTTCTTATAAAAAAAAACCCAAGAATTAACAATATTTTTATAAATATTGTTTTGTTCTCCCCAAGTGCAAGTGGCTGTTACAAAAATTGATTCAATTTTCAGTGGGTTTTGTTCTTGGTGCATAAGCTTGCTGTGTGAGTACTTTTGGATTAAAGTCAATTCGGTGCAGTTTAAATTCAAAAGGTTTTTTTGGCTATACTTTGCGGTGTTGGTGGAAGCTATTTTGATTTAGACTTGTGATCTTCTTCAGCGTTGTTTTAAAGATTTTTATTCATTTATTTGGTGAGGTCGTTTCTCTTGATTATTTTGTGATTATTTAGAATTTGCCTAAGAGTGGTTTGTGAGATCATTCATGCCTCGTTTGTAATCGTTTGAAAACTCTTAGTTAATAGTAGAATCGAATTTCAATCTTGCGGACGTACCTCACAATAAGGGAACCACGTAAAAATTATTGTGTCGTTATTGATTTAATTTTTTCACATTAATTTTTATTGGCATTGATTGATTTACTTATGAGAAATCATATATTTTCTCTAATAAAAAGTGGGGGAACAAAATGTGTAAGGCATGTTAAACCCGGTGTAAGGTTTTTATTATTATTATTATTATTATTATTATTATTATTATTATTATTTACAGATGTCAAAAGCTTCAAGAGACTAAATTGTGGTTTCACTTAATAAATAGTATACATAGATGCATACATATTAGCGATTAGCACACACAATAAGTGTGTAATTAAAATAAGTTAAAATAAAATAAAATATTCAATTTATATTGTGTACTTTTAAGTGGTAAGAATTTTCTATATTAAAATCTCAAGTACTAGGTTTGTAACGCCTCCAAAATAAACCCATAATATACATAACATTGACATGCATTAATAAAAGAAAACCAACCGTTATTCTATTCATCAGAGTATTCTTATTGTAAAACATTACATGTAACATCAAATTAAATGCCTTACGGGCTAACATCTTTCCAAGCCAACACTTGGACACAAAGTATGAGTTCTAACTCAAATACAAATAAAGCCCTAGGCTTGAATGTTTACATAAATAACAACTAAACTAAACAGAGTCTTCAACTCCAATTCCTTCCAAGCTAAGTCCTTGGAGGTAGCTTATCACCTGAACCTGAAAATGATGTTCCCATAAGGGTGAGCCACAGCCCAGTAGAAAAATACTAAACCAAAAATAAGCATTGAATAAAGCTATAGCATTCAATAGATGGTTAACCAAGATAATCAATTGTGACTTAATACCGTCTCAAGACACTAATGTCTATGACATTTTTCAATTCCCCTTTATTATCAATATGGCTCAGAACCTGGCCAAACTTACAACAATGAACTATATATCACCTTCACATTACTTCCAATATCAACAACATTAATGAGAATCAAGCTCATATTAAAACACTTCATACTTCCCGTTTGATACACATTTTAGTGCTGTATCAATAACATGTAAAACACTTCAATATAATAAGCACACATAATAGTGATGCTAATGGAGTCCATCCCCTATCTCCTCCCAAACAATATGCATATGCAATGCTCAATCAATACATGTAATTTTCTGTATTAATTCGATAGTCTAAATTTATGACTTAAACAATTTGATTAGTTTCAATTTTCCCTAATCCACATACAATGTCTACAACAAACACAACTACCCTCCACCAATAGCCCAAAACAGTTATTTCTAGACTGGAAATAAGCATATCAACAATTGAATGGGCGAGTGATTTACATTATCCAACTACACCATTTAATCAATAAATTTCCCAATTTCATGAATTTAACCGAATTTCCCAATTTCCCTTAAATTAATTATACAAATTAATTCATTATTACAACTAGGGTTTTTCCCAAAATTATCAAAGTAACCCTAATTTATCAAAATACCAAAACTTAGAACAAAACTTATAAGATGGAGTAGGAAATCCCTACCTTGAAGAAAATAACCCGAATGGAGAAGACGAAGATGAAGACTCCAATTCCAAAGTGCTCCAAATCCTCTCTTTTTCAGATTAAAAGAAATCTCTCGCGAAGCTCTACCTTTCTTTCAAAGGAACTAGGGTAGAAGACCCCAAGGAATAGATCAAATCTTAGAGAGAAGGTGAGAGTAGAGAGAGAAACTCTCAAATGGCGGTTTTTAAAAGTTAAGAGATGAAAAGTAGGTCAAAAAGTGATCCAAAAAGTGAAATCACGGACTGATGTAGTCGACTCTACGCTCGAGCGTGAAAAACCCCGCTCGAGCGTAAGACACAGACTCACGCTCGAGCGTGAAAAGAGCCGCTCGAGCGTCGATTGCACCCTTCCAGAAGTTTTGCAGGCGATGGTATCCGCTCGAGCGTAAAACTCTCCGCTCGAGCGGAGGGACAAAATCAAGAGATCACGCTCGAGCGTAAAAAAAATATCGCTCGAGCGGACGGACTGCAGAGTAAAGTACTGGGAGATGGAAAACCACGCTCGAGCGTAAAAACTCCCGCTCGAGCGGAGAAGCAACAACGAAAAGCCCGCTCGAGCGTTAAAAACTTCCGCTCGAGCGTGAAGGCAAAAACCTGGGCATCACCTTTTGGTTTCAAAGTGCAACCAACCTGTTTTAAACTTGCCCATCACAATCCAAGACTCAAATACAAAGAGTAAAGGCTAGAAGTGATAATGATACAAAACAAATCCACGAAACCAAGTCTAGAATACAGTATACAAAAGAAGAAAAAATCGGGATCGCTATAAGGTTTGAGTCTCATTCTCTTCTCCATGTAATTTATTTATTATTATTATTCTTTTTTGGGTTAATTGTCTGAATAAAATTTAAGAATTTGTAAACGTTGCAACCGGCAGTGGAAGGCATCTAGAACTAGAAAGATAGATCCTGATATCAGATCATGTGACAGTCTCTTTTGCTAATAGCTTTTTTTTAATAATTTTTTAATAAACTTTTTGTTTTGTAGAGATTTTTTTTAAAAATAATTGAACTCAGTTTATTTATTTAAAATTGTTTTAGGATAGAAGAATCTAAATTTTTTTATAAAAAAAATAGACCAAATTTGAAAAAAAAAAATTAATGAACAAAAAAAAATAAGATAATCTAGTTTAATAGAATTTAAAAAGAAAAAAAAATGAACATTTTTTAAAGAATTTTTGGCCATAAGTTCCTCTCTACAAGATTTATTATAAAAAAGACGAGTATGAGACGAGTGTATAATTTTTGTTGCAATAATTTGTGTAGCTTTATTTATCAAAAAAAACTTTAATTCATTTTCAAACTCATAAATTGTATAATTTTTTTTTGTAAATATCCTTTTTTTTAATCTTACAGAAATTTCTTATGATTTTAAGTATATAAATCAAATAAATAAGATCCAAAATTGATTTACAAAAAAGTCAACTTACTCTAAAAATCATGAAATTAATTTTAGATGTTCCTAAATATATGTTACATGCATATGAAATAATTTTTGAAATTCAATTCCATTGATTATATAAAAAAATAAAAAGTCTACTTACACTGAAATTTTACTATGATTTTATTATGAAACGGATGTTGGAAAAACTCATTTGCATGGCATTAAGAAAATGTCAATTTAGATCGCGAAAAAATAATTTGTTGTGTAGTTTTTATAATACGGAGAATGTCTACAAAAATATATAAAAGAAAAATAAAATAAAAAATTTGCCCGTAGCATTGTCTCATATGGTTTATTTTCTTATTCAGCATCTAAGCATGGCATTAAGAAAATGTAAATTATATTATTAGTCCTTTTAATTTGAACAAATTTTTATTTTAGTCTATGTTTGCATTTCATCAATTTAGATCTCACGCTTTCAATGCGTTTCGATATGGTATTTCCGTCAATTGCTATTAACCTTTGAACATAAAATAAAATAAAATAAAATAAAATAGACCAAAATAAAATATGAAATAAATTGTGGAAAAATTAGTGGAAAGTTCCTTTTTGAGAACTTCTTTAGCCATATATCCTATGAAAGTACTTGTGATCCGATAAGTCCTGTTTGAAATTGTGTTCTAAGAGATCCTTTTTTATATAAAAAAGAAAAAAAAATTCCATTACATTTTTTCTCTACATATCTGCTTTTATAAAAAAATTTAGTATATTTTTGAAAACTACTCAGCGAGATCTTTAAACAAAATCTAAATTAAATATAAAATTATGTGAAATGAAAAAATTAAAAATTTCACACTATTTTAATGTTAATGTTCACACATTTTAATAAATACGAATAATGTGTTTTTTTTTAAGGGGAATTAACCAGTAAATTCCATTTTGTGGACTTGTAATTCATAAGGTCTTGAATGCTTTCTTGGTGACTGAGTGGTCCCTTAATTTGTTTGTTGACAGTTTTGCCACTGCTAGTATTATTGATTGACATTTGGTGTGGGTTTGTATGGGATAAGGTGAATGGGTGTATGTGTGTCACGTTGATCGAAAAAGCGCACTAATACTTTTTTAATTTAGTAAGTGTGTACCACTCGCAGAGTGGAATGTGGGTTACATCGTAAGTGTTGTTCCGTGCGTGACGTGAACACAAGCAATTTGACACGAGCAAGTGTGTCACATTTCGGCTTTCCCACAATTTGACCCTTTTTTTTTCGATTGCCATTTGTGACGTTTCGGCTTTCGCAGCAATGTGACTGAACAATACAAAAAAATAAAGCATCACTTTCTCTCTCTATCTCTCTCTCTCTCTCACATCTTTTACCTTCTCAGTCACCTTCTCAGTCACGTTAAAGCATCACTTTCGATGTAAACCTTACCATTTGTTGGGTTCACGCAGAATCCGATCGCCTGCTCCGGCAGCGTACGGCGGGTGATGCTTCAGCCAATCCCATCGTTTCTCGTCCCAACTCTCAATCTCCTGTCCTCCTATGGAGTAACTGAGTTCTGGGTCGTCGTAGAATGTCGGGTCATCCGGGTCGTTGCGCAGGTTAACCCCGTGCACACCCCCAGCACAATCTCGCTTCTTTGAAGAAATCAATGCCTTCGCTTCGTTCTTTGAGAAACCAAAACTAGGGTTGGGGTTTATGAAGGACGAGAGAGCCCAAACCGTTAGAAGAGCCACCAAAACTCCACCGACAAATAGAAGGCCATCGATGAGAAATGACCTCGCTTTGGTCCGAGCTCCATGCTTGGCCATGGATAGTGATAAAGATGTATGGAATTGAGAATGCTGAGGAGGCACCATTTGAAGCTCAGGAGGAGTATTCTTGTCAGTGTGTGGCTATTGTATCCATTGTTAGGTTCACAAAAGTATTTGATTTGTTGGGTTCACATTTGTTGGTGCACGCAGTGTTGGTGTGATTCCATAACCCACGTTATCACACCCCAAAACATGGGATTCGAATTACCAAACGTGGATCAGCAAACATATCCCACAAAATCTGCATTCAATCCCAATATACACCTCTAAAGAAAAAACAAAAAATGGGCAAACCTGTCCACATAAACATCACATAAATTTAAAATGGGACCTGGTTGTCCACAAAACATGCCAAACAGGACTTGCCAATCCAAAAGAATGAATGTGAGACCAGATGGAGTAATAGATTGGTAAATAGGACTTTATGATAATTTTCCCTTTTTTTAAATGTACATATTCACACGTTCAATAACTAAAAATAATGAACCAGGGCATTTGGCTTAATGGTTGTGTAGCACTTTTTGTGATGTGAGATTTCAAGTTCAGCTCTTATAAAGAGGAGTTTAATATCCCTTATCGCAATTCGTTCATTAGATATCTCTTATAATGTAGTTACTCTTCTATCAATTGACAACAAAATAATAATAATAATAATAATAATAATAATAATAATAATAATAATAATAATAATAATATGAATTTTTGAAAAGTATGAATACTTTTTGAAAAATGTATTTCCAAAAACTACATGTTATCCCAGGTAGGCAATGCAATAGGGGGTGAATTGAGTTATTAAAAATTGAAAAATCTAAAATTCTCAAGATATTGATTTGTGATTATGTATCAATTTTAACCAGTAAATAGCAATCTCAATCAAATAATCAAAAACAAATCGACATGCTGGAAATTGTGTTCATGTATATAATATGATAGTGGTGTTGGTGGTAGATAGTGGCATGTATAGAATATGATAGTGGTGTTGGTGGTAGATAGTGGCATGTATATAATATGATAGTGGTAGATAGTGGTAATATATAATATGTAAGTGACATATAATGGGTTATGATAATGTTTGTAATATCTCCTATATAAGGAGTGTCATTTGGTCTTGTAAGATAAGAAGTTTTGAATATAACAGAAATATATTCCTTCTTCCTCATATTTTTCGGAGTTCTTCTTCTTCATATTTTCTAAGTCGACACAACGATTTTAACATGGAAAATCCACAATTAGAGCGTCTTCAATTGTGATTAAAAAAATCACAAGTCAAAGTCACAAAATAATCCACTAAGAAGAAAAAAAAGAATTACGCAAGTGTACTCTCAATTACCTAGTGAATCCACGCCTAAATTGAACTGAACCTAATGTACCTCTTCCACCACCGTTTTCACCTCGGAATTGTCTTGTCCAATATTGAATCCATAAAGCCGATGTCGAATTCACGACGATGAGCCACTCCAGAATCCACCAAAGAACAACTGTCTCTTTTGTAAATAAAACAAAATAAAAAAACCCTTTGATATAATCCACTCAATTCATGATATAAACTCTCACATATATCAAAGAAAACAAGTAAATAAACTCCAAATGAAAACCCTAATATCCAAAAAGAAGATCTGGAAGTCGTACCCTAAATTCTGACTAAAACGTCGCTTTATAGCAAACAAGGCCACAGCAGTCGCTCGAGCGCAGGATCTGTCACTCGAGCAACAAGATTGACATACGTGTATTTCTTAAGTATCTTCGCTCGAGTGATGAAAAGTTCACTCGAGCGTAAAATCTCAACTCCTAGTACTTTTGTAGGCAAGTGAAACTTCTGAGAGGATTACATCTTCGCTTGAGCGCATAATTGACCACTCGAACGGTCAAACAACTTTGACTGCAATTTTGCTTTTTTACTTCAGGAGCGCTACCCCGGACCCGCCATAGGGCACTGCCCCCTGGACCACCGCGAGCTAACTGGGCAACTTGATTCCCGACACAGTCAGCGAAGTGGCAAACATGATAGGATTAAGATCACAAACTCCTCTACATAGACACAATTTGGTTTGGATTCGTAACTAAATACTCATAGCCTCACTAAAATAAAAAATCGAATAAAATTACAACTGAAATGAGTTTTGTCAAACAGGATTGCTAATTACAAAAACCTAACAAAAATAATTTCACAATATTAATTATAATAATCAAAATAATGGAATTTTAACAAATAAAATAACAGAACAATAATAATCAATATACAAGTAAAAAAGATAGAGAGAGAAAATCAAACACGGTAATTTATAGTGATTCAGTATGCCGAGCCTACGTATACTCCTCAAGGATCTTATTTGAGAATTTCTCCACTATCAAACGAATCAATATACCACCAAATCTTCACCAAGTTTGTGAAATTTACACAGGTCTTACTCTTATCTGTTGAGCTTTACTCAACAATAAATGGCTCACCCTAATAAAGTTCTTTCACAAAATAATTAATAAAAATAAGAGGTATTTTAGTCCTTTTTTACAATGATTCTCTCTAAAATAGTAGATATGAAAGTGTAAGAACAAAAACAACACTTAAATTTGAAAGTGAAACAGTAGAATGAAAAATACAATCAAAATTTTTGAATACACAAATTTTTTCTCTTCAAGTTCTTCTTCTTCTTCTTTCTCTCTCTCTCTCTCTCTTTCTCTCTCTCTCTCTCTCCAAGCATAATGGTTTCTTTTATACCCAAAAATCTACCGATTGGGAGGTAGATGCTCCTTCGGATCACAAGGTGACAAAGCGGAAGACGCTCCTCTATTTGACTTTGTATCATGTGGGCACACGGAGAAGACACACATTGCTTCCACTTTTCTCTTTCAAAAGCACGAGCAAGTTTGAAATTAATGTCGAACGGTCGCTTTCGATAAATAGTGTTTTGCTGATTTTTCTTTCAAACTTTATCAATTTCAAATGTTACACAGTAACTTGCATAGTAATTTTTCTATTAAAATATTTGAATGTACAGTAATTTCTCTATTAAAATATTTATATGCATAGTGAAATATTTTTAAACAACATTTATATCAGATATGAAAATATATACCCTTTTTATAATCTTTATAGCTATTGTAAAGATTTTGGATACATAGAAATAACTCATGTAGGTATATCAAATTTGTCAAAAAGTGAATGACTAATGGATTTTTTCAAAACGTGAATAGTGAAATTGCTATTTATACTACTTTCACAAAATTCAAACATGCACAGTAAATTGTACGTAACTTTTACGAAATTCAAACATGCACAATAACTTTCACAAAATTCAAACATGCACAGTAAATTGCACAATAAAAATATATGCTGCAACCAAAATCTATTTTCATATTTTGTGTCAAATGATTTTAAAATATGTATATTAAAAAAATACAATTTATTAAATAATATTTTGGATATCATCAAAATTAAATCACATGATTAACACTACACATTTACAATTTTTACATCACCCTTTACATTTCCAAAAAACTACACAATTTTTGAAAATGTGAAATTCACTTAAATATGATGATTTTTTTTCCCTCTAAAAACGACTTTGAATTTATATATATATATATATAAGATAAATCATATTGTGAAAGATAAATTAGATTAAATACTATCATCAGATTTCCTTCTACAGTCAAGTGCAAATTAAATTGTGATTACATTACAAAAAATCTTCAAATTCTATTCTGTCTATAACTTTTGAATTTCCTACTCTGTTTCAATATTCATTTTTATGCTTAATTATATCCATTTATGTAACTAGGGGCAATAGATTTGTTTTGTATCGCACAAGATTTGATGGGATATAAGAATTTTCATAGGATTAAATGGAGTATAAGTTATTCAAATGAGATTTTCTAATAAATGTCTCATAAATAATAGAGATTATTAGTGTAATGTATTCATTTTTCTTTCTTGTGCATGAATTACTTTTGAGAATAGGCTATTTTAGTAAAAAAATGTGTAATGTGATAGAGGTCCCGTTTGATGTAACTGTTAAAACAGATTATATATTATAACTTAACAGATGACTTTAATCAGAAGTTATTAATCAGATAACTTTAAGTTACTAAGTAGTATTTATTAAATAAGCTGTGAAGTAGCTTTTTGCTGTGTCAATGTCTTTTTTACCCTTGTCTTTTTCTCTTTATTTTATTTTCTCTTCTTTTTTTTTTTCCTCTCTTCTTTCTTTGTTAATTTTGTTAAATTTCTTTTCATTAGTGGAAGTAAATTGTATTTTTTTTTATTAATTTCTTTTTGATCACACAATACCAATTAATAATATAAAAATTGTTAATGGAAGTTTTTCCTTATATAAAAATTAAATAATTAAATAATTTATTATAAAAATTATTCATTAAATACCAAGCATTCAGTAATTTATTAATTCTTCTCTTCTTTTTTAATTTATTAATTAAAAACCCTAATCCCATCGCTGGCAGTTGCCGGCAGCTCCCTCTTTCTCCTCGTACTCTCATTGCCGACAACCCTTTTTTCTCTTCCTCCTCATCCTACCGTCGGCAGCCGTCGATCGTCACTCCCACTGCCGCAATCGCAATTATTTTGAGATCGCAGAAGAAAAAGAGAGAGAAGAGATCGCGAAGAGAGAGATCGCGAACAAAGAGATCAACGACGCTAGGGTTTCAAATTGATGGTTAGGGTTTAAGCTCTAGTTCAGATCGATCGTCACTTTGAGCGATCGCGAAGAGAGAGATCATGATGGTTAAGGTCTCTGGTTCAGATCGTTCACCGTGGAGAACAGTGAAGAGAGAGAGAGAGAGAGAGAGAGAAAATAAGTGTTCTTGGTTTATATAGATGGCACACTTGTAATAACTGAAAATTGTGAAGAGTATTTAAGTAATTTCACACCCCCTCCACATAATCTCAATTGCGAAAGCTGCCTAGAGCAGCTTTTGATTTTTCAGCTTATTTTCCTCTCAAAAAAGCTGTTAGAAGCTGAAGCAATTTTTTCAAAGTTAGACCAAACAGTCCAAAATTGCTTTTTCAGAGTTAAAAGCTATAAGTTGGTTCAAAAAAGTTAGACCAAACACCCCTAGAGAGCTGATGTATAAAAATAAAAAAAACAATAAATATACTTTTAGATAATTGCCAAATAACCCTTAAAATTCTCAAGCGAAATTATTAGTGGCTTTTTGGATATAAGGGGCCTAAAGTCTTATGGATTAATACATTAAAATGTATAATTTCTCTTATTCATTGTTGTGCCTTCACACCAACTGCATTAATTTTGACTAATTTGACTTTACTAAAAAAATAAATTTATATAATTATACCAAAACTATGGTGTTTTGTTGTATTTTTTTTTTATATATTTTATTGTTCATAACTAATATACAAGGCAATTGGCCAGTGATTCATGTATTCGTTCCTCAGGAAAATGAAAATGCGAGAGGTTTTGAGTTTGAGTTGATGGAATGACTACAATCCTTTCATTGTAATCTAATTTATTAACTTTCTAACATTTTATCATATGACTCAAAAAAAAAAAATGAAGAGCCCCAAAACCGTAGAAGAAGAAGAAGAAAAAGACTATCAAGAGTTAAAGTTCATTGTAATCTAACTTATTAATCCCAAACATCTTATTGTATGACCAAAAAAAAAATCAATTGTCTAGAGATGTAAAAAGGGCATAGCGCAACCCTTTCAGACCTGGGTTTGGGTCTGTTGGGCTCCAACCATGTTTCTAGCCAGCTCATTTGTGTGGGATCGCAGCCTAGGCTCGCCGATCCCGTAACCCGACCTAACAATTTTTATTTTTTATTTTTTCTCATCAAAATAATTTTAAGGCCCCGTTTGTTTTCAGAGATAGAATGGAAGAGATTTATAATGAGAGGATTAATAGTGAGGTGATTGTTAGTGAGGGGATTGATAGTAAGGGGATTAATAGTGAGGAATTGTTAAATTATTTTTATATAAAATAATAAAACAAATAAAAAAATATAAAAAATTAAACATTATATTTTTTTAAAAAAAATCCCAATATAAAAAAAATAAAAAAAATTTCTAATCCCCTCACTATTTTTCTAATACCATCTCTACCTCCTCCTTACTAATCCCCCCTTCTAAGGGGACTACAAATATCAATGAATTAATAGTCTTCTCCTCATCTCTCAAAACAAACACCCCCATAAGTGTCTGTTCTGTGGCCCATATTAGGTAAAGCCCATGGTCTCCCATCATACAGGACTTTGGCCAACTAAAAGCACTGGGCAAAATGGGTTCATCGTGCTCAATCGTGGGCCAGTTTTAGGAAATATTGTACTAAAGCTCAAAAATTTAAACTTGGTTGTTGTCGGTATGGTAGCTCAAAAAATTGTTAGAGATCTCAAATGTTTTAACAAATGTATGTGGATCCCACATTCATATGAGACATTTAGTAAAATATTTAGAGTTTCTAGCATTACTCATGGTAGCTCATCTGATGTGAATGGGAATGGGAATGTTGAGAAGCTCTCATCAGCCGATATGCCCGAGGGAACAGCACTGCTCGGAATGGTCTCGGCATTATATGAAGTATTGTCTCTGCAATTTGAAAGATGGAGTGTCCTTATCACTGGGTTTAGTGAGTGTCATCAGTTGGGGTGTTGCTGAAATTCCTCAAATCATCACCAATTACAAACAAAAATCTGCAGAGGGACTCTCGCTCGCCTTCCTCTTCACTTGGATTGTCGGGTGACCAATACTCTCTCCTCTTCTTTCTATTTAGAAAACCCAATTTTCTTTTCTTTTCTTTTCTTTTATTTTCATTTTGTTTTATTCAATGCCAATGTGATCTTGTTACGATCCCTTTACGTTGTGTTTTGGTTGGGATTTGGGGGAGTAATTTGGAAATGGAAATGGAAAGAGAAAAAGCGAAAAAAAGTGTGTGGAAGTAGGTCATGTTTATTCACATTTCACCACCCTCTTCTTTTTTCTTTCCAAATCTCTTCTCAAATTACAATTTAAAAAAAAAAAAAAAAAATTTACTTTATCTTTCTTATTTTTTCGACTTTTGGGTAGTATCATAAGGTGCTAGTAGATTCAGCTGGTATTTCAAGATACTAGGATGGTTTGAACCAGGACATTGGAGTTACACACACCTGCATATACTTTTTTGAGTAGTAACAGTGTGTTAGCAGGTTCATTTGAGCCATGTGAATTGGATCATCAGAGATGCTCTTTTCAAAAGTTATGCTTTTATATGCGTAGTATTAGTGTGTTAGCAGGTTAATTTGAGCCATTGGGTTGATTTGTATCGGATCATCAAAGATACTAAAAATTTATGCTTCTATGTGAGTAGTAATAGTGTGTTAGCATGTTGATTCGATTCATTAGGACGGTTTGTATTGTATCATCAAAGATGCTCTTTTTGATAGTTATGCTGCCTTGTAGGAAAAAGGAACTGTGTGTGCTGGTTGATTGCGATGTTTACACTGCTTGCTTGGACCTGGGATGGACCTAGGAATCTAATATACAGTGCTGAACATATATACAGTAATACTTTTCACTTTTTACGCCGATAGAAGTTGATATTGTGATCCACCTTTTAATTAATATGACTGATTGGAATTATACGTCACGGACATTGAGGACAAAAGGGATGTCCGGGCGAGAGACAGAGCGGCTCACCAGAAAGAGAGAGAGGTAGCAGAGCACCATAGTACAAGGACGCAAGACAGAGCTCATGGATCTCTGTGCCAAGAAGTTCTTGTGATGTAAAAGATACTACCTCCTATTTATAGGAGTGTCACATGACTCATAATTCCTAGATATAACCAATTTCTGTTAAGTTTTGTCAACTCATGTGTTAGAGCATTTCAATTCGTTAGGATTTGCCTCTATCCCTGAGCACGTCAAGTGATGCTTCTATCTCTAGCCACCAAATTAAACCTGGATTTTGTGCTTCATTTCAATGCAACAACGAGAGTATCACACACAATCAGACATTAAACCATATCAATTTTTGGGTTATTGTGGCAGCGACTGATTTTGAAATCAAGCACAAAAACTAGTGCCATTTCATTATGTCCATATTTGCCATAAACTGTTAGATGATCGTGGTCTCAATGCCGATTTGCCACACCCACCCACCAGATTTTCAATGCAACAACTGAATCATTAAACCATATCAAATGTATACACACATATATAGGTTGTATATGTAGATGAGTTGGATTGAGATACATTGTGGTGGGTTCAATGGTTGTGTGGGTTTATAAATATTTTTTTTTGGTTTGCAGAGATTTGAAGGGGGAGAGAGAGAGGTCAGGGCTTTCATTAAATTTTGTTAGGCGATTTGAAACCTTAAGAGGTGGGGTGTATTTTCCAAAAACTGAGTTAGTCAAATCATAAGTATTTGTTAGATGCCTTAGGGGTTGTATTTGTAATTTACCCTTGAGTTTATTATCAGCTAATTCTTTGTCGAAGTAGTTTGACCTATCACATATGCTCTTGAATTAAGGAAAGATGACAACATTAGGATCGATATGCTCTTTATAAGGTTTGCTAACATGGACAATTGAGAGATTGTTTCACATTTAACCCCTAATTCTTTGTTGAATTTTGTTAACAAGTGCTCTAAGGGCACATATGTTAAATGGACTCAGGTACGAGAGTCAGGTACGAGAGTATATCTAGAGTTCGGACTCATCAAACCTTAAATTTAAAGGTATACCAGACTTGGCAAAAAATTTTCATTTTTATATTTTTAATCTATTATTATGTGAGATAAAATAATATTAATTATACGTAACATGCAGTGTCCAAAATAGAATTTTATATCTCACTCCCTTGTCCTAGTGTTGGGTATTTGACATGGGTATGTGATTTATTTTGAAGACTCCATGAAATGTGACATAGGAGGGTACTTGCTAATAAGCTTGAAATAGTTGTACATTCTTTATGAGAGTGTGTGACATAAAAAATGTACAATCATTTCAAGTTTGGTTAACCAATCCCATAGGGAACTTGTTAGCAAGACCCTTCTATATTTCACTTTCTTTTTCTCCTTTATGCCTCTTTTGTTTCCCCCTTGCGAGCAAGACATCCAAGCCTCCACACTATTTAGTTGGATGAATTGTGTTTCTTTGCTAATGAATTATATTTAAATTTGATGGCGTCCAACAAAACTCTTTGGTGCAGCCTTTTGATTTAAGTAAAACCTACTGGCCTTCGATTCTCTCTTTGTTCATTTGTGTCTTACTAGCTCAAGGAGGTGCTTCTAAAATTCCTCTGTACCCTTTTCATGAATTGATAAACTAAGAAATTCGTCCTGCCAGCATCATGCTACCATAAATTTCAACTTGATAATTTTATGTTGGGCAAACATGTAGGGCTTGTAAACTGGAAGTGCTATAGTGTGCATTTGCCACATGATGAATTCGCCTCACTGGTTTTATTTATAGATATGCACCAAATTTAACAAGAGTTTTCTTAGTTAAACCTATTCATTGCATCAAATTCATTGATTTATTTCTCATTAAGCAGCAACTTTTCTTAATCTTATGATTGTCCTAGTTCATTTTTTTTTTTTTTTTGCAGAGATCTTTTCAACCTTTTTGGCTGCTTGCTGGAACCAGCTACTGTGAGTGCTTCTTCTATTTTTCAAATTTGTATTGAAGTTTTTCTTTCTCACAAATTCACAATGTTGTGTGTTCAATGTAGGATCTTTAGAATTTAGCATCATAATTAAATCTATTAAGTTTATAGTTTAATGTGAAAGGGTTTGGGTTGGTTAGGGTTCGGAAGGTAAAAGTTTGGGAATAGAGAAAATAAGCTTTTGGGAGGTTGTAATTAAGAGTGGAGAAAGAAGCTTTATGCGGGGAAGAGTTTTAAAGTACCTGGGCACAAAGTAGAATTTTAGAAGTGGAAGTGGTAGAATTCTAGAAGTGAAAAGTTGATCATGCTTCATTGTCGGAGTTTGGATTGGCTCTAAACTTAATGGAATTAGCTAGAGGCTTTGTCGTGATTTTTTTTGTTGACTAAAAGCCAAACAATGGGGGAAAATAGGGTAAAAAAATGAATGGAAGGAGGGTGTGGGTTTGTTTTTGTTTAGCGTCATCTTGATGCTCTTTTTCTAATAAAGTTGATCCTTATTTATCAAATAAATAAATAAAATAATGGAAGGAAATATATTTGCGTGGTTGTCTGAACACTCTCCTGAAGGTATTGGTTTTCTCCTCACAAATTCATAATACGGTCTTATAGTTTCTGTAATGCATCGTGCAAGTTTATTTATTTTTAATATTGGATGCTGTGCTTCATTCAGAGACCATGAATTAAAAAATTTAACTGAAAAAAGAAACATACACGTACTCAAAGACAAAAAACGATAGGGATTGCTTCTGTTAAAAAATACATGTTACAGTTTATTGACTGAACTCTTTATTGTTGCCTTTGCAGCTTCCAACACAATTCTACATGGCAATAGTAAGAATGTTTTCTTGAAGCTGAAGTATAATTTTGTTAGTTCAACTTCTCATTTTTGGTTTATTCAACTACATGACTTCTGTGGTGGTTCACAGTTATTTACAATAACTACCTTGGTTCTTACTGGTCAAACGATATACTACGGCCACATCTATCATCGCCTGAAATCCAATAAACAAAGCCACAAGGTTGGAATTCATAAGCTTATCATCTTTAGCTATGATTTGTGCAATGATTATGTGTATATATATATATATTGGTCCCTTTTCTTATATCAAAATAATGAATGTACAATTGTATTAAAAGTTGAACCCATGACAAAAACTTTTATTCTTAGATTAGATCTCTGGTCTAGGGCTTTAAATGGCTTGGATCTGCGATCTAATAACTTCTGAAATGGAATTCAAATTACATATATGAAGTCACTTCTGCTAGGGTTCTATAAGATTAGAAAAAAGTATGGATGCTCTCCACATGCAAGACAGGGTTGAGGGTGGGTATTGAATAGCTTGATATACATTGTTGAGCCCATTTCCTAACAGCTTAAGCTTTTGAGATAATTCGTGACCTAAAAGTAAGAAAGTTTTGGTCATCAATATTTGTTTGATGTGAAAAACTAGACATTGCCAGGTAGAATTGTTGTGAACTCTCACATCTAAGCCCAGAACTTTAAACCACACATTCTCAGAAAATCTAGAAAGATGACGGTCGGAAAATCAAACCTATTTTGGTTCTTTATTGTCTACAAACTCTATACCCTTTCTTCTATTATTTAAATCCTCATTCCACATATTTTATGTAACGTTTTGCCACCGTAAAACCATTCACAGAGTTGTGATATTTTGAGCATTAATAGAGGTGTTCTACATCAAGAAGTCCTTGACTGCTGACAAATATGCCGACCACATTTTCTTTTCTCAACATATGCTTTGGTATTAATGCATATGTTTCTAAAAGCATCTCTGCTATCTTCTTTCTAAATTTTTTTATTAAGGTCATCCAGTCAAGTCTGTTGTCAAATTCTTCTAATGAAACGTTGTGAACTTTGTTTTAGACAGACTTTATGCTATAGCATTCTCAAAACGTTTTTAGCCCTTTGTGATAATTAAACTCATTCAGCAATTAAGTGCCTTCAGATATTTGAAAGGCAGTACCTTATTCACCTCTCTATTCAGTTTTCTCACACTACTATTTTTATTTTTGATTTTCATGTAGCCGACCCCATTTGATGGGACTTAAGGCTTGGTTTGGTTTGGTTTGGTTTGGTTTAGTTTTCAGATCATGTTTCTGGTTTTTTGCCCTTATATATTCATAATGTATGCTTACTTTTTTGGTTTGTAATGTGGGTTCAAGCTTGCCCCAGCTGAGGCAGTAGAGAAGAAAAGATCGTGTGGTAGTGTTGTTGCCAAGAAACAAGACTACAATGAAGACGGAGGGGGAAATGCAACCAATGTCTTTGTGTCAGGAATTGCTCCAAGTTCACCCATTCCTCTTCCAGGGCTTCCGTGTTATAGTTCCATGGAAGGAGAATTATACTACATGTAAATGATTCTTACCCTCAAAGTTATTACATATGTGCTGGTGGTGGTCTTGCTTGCTTTTCTATCTAGTTGTTAAAACATAATCCTCTGAGATGAAAGGAGGTATAAAAAATTTGACAAGTGAATGTGATCTCTTTCTGGATGATAAATTATGATTTAGCATAGGCAAGCTAGAACTCCCCTTATTCTATTTATTTTGCATCCTCAAGAAGTTAGGCATTTTAGTTGCTTAGAAAATGTCACCATTTTCTTGCGTGATCCGGGGTCCAGTTCAGTACAAGATGGAAATTCGAGACTGACTCCTTAGCCCATGTGAAAACATCTTCCAACTCTGTCAAATATTGTTGCATCAATATTTTACACTGAAAGTCAGAACAGCTACAGCAGCCACATCATTCTTGTTGGTAGTAATGTGACAGCATACTCCTTTTCTCTGTTGGTTCCATATTTTTACTAAAAACGAAAATCCGGGTGCGACTATCTCTCAGTCTCTTTTGATACTTTTAAACTTTCATGACTAATCTCTCCATCTCCCACCCACAAAGCCGGTGGCATCTAGCCACTGCCGGTGATGGGTGGGGATGGTCTACAAGCCCCACCCTGCCCTTCCAAGGCAGGATGCAAGTGTTTGGTGCAAAACCAGACACTAAACGGTCGAGTTCGGAGATCCTGAGGCAAGGCGCGCGAGCCGAGACCTCCGGGAACTCCAAACGAACACAAACATGGAAGATCACCGTGTGTTCAAACAGTGATGTCCAAGTCTTGAGGTCGGTCAAAAATAGGGTGTCTACACAAAGCTAATTAGTTCCTAGAAAAAAAGATAGAGAATGATGGTGAAGTACGAAGAGTGTTTGAGGGAAACTTTCTTCTGGAGAACTAGTTGAGAAAGTTTGAGAAAATAAAGGAAAATAGGATGAAAATTACAGGGAATTGAGATTCGTCCTTTTGGACTTGAGAAATGAACACTTGGGTTATTTGGAAAACCTGAAATGAGTTGTTAAAGTTAAACTAATATCGTTAACCTACAATGACTCTGTAATTTTCTTTCTTGGAGGCTAAGCAGGATTACTTTTTGTGAAACTTGGCCTTTTTAGCTAATGAAACTAATAGTTGCCAGAGCTAATTAGTTCCTACAATAAAAGAGAAAAGGCTCTAGAAGGACGGAGAGAGTGAGAGAGAATATTTCTTCTTGAGTGGTAAGGGAAATAGGATGAAAATTATTGCGAATTCAAATTCATCTTTTTGAACTTGAGAATTGAGCACTTAGGTGATTTAGAAATCATTAATTGGGTTGTATAAGTAAAAGTAATATCGTTAAGCAACAATTACTCCATATATTGTGATTGTTGTAGAATAAGAAATATTATTTTGGGTATAATTTGGCCACTTAAGCTAATGAAACTAATATTTGCCGAAGCTAATTAGTTCATAGAAGAAAGGAGAGAGGGTTGGAGAAGGACAGAGAGAGTTAGAGAAAAACTGTTTTCTTTGGTGATAGAAGAGAAAGTCGGAGAAGAGAAAGGCAATTACGATGAAAATTGAAGGGAATTCAAATTCATCCTTTTGGAATGGAGAATTGAACACTTAGTTGATTTAGAAAAATTTAAATTAGATGCTTAACTTAAGCTAATATCGTTATGCTACAATTACTAAGTAAAATCTTTTTCTTGGAGGCTAAGCAAGATTATTTGAGTAAAATTTGACCACTTAAGCTAATGAAATAGTTTGTTGCCAAAGCTAATTAGTTCCTAGAAAAAAAAGAGAGAGAATGATGGTGAAGGACGAAGAGTGTTCGTGGGAAACTTTCTTCCTAAGAACTAGATGAGAAAGTTAGAGAAAAGAAACGTAAATAGGATGAAAATTATGGGGAATTGAAATTCGTCCTTTTGGATTTGAGAATTGAACACTTGGGTTATTTGCCAAACCTAAAATGAGTTGTTTAAGTGAAACTAATATCATTATGCTACAATTACTCCGTAAATTCTCTTTCTTGGAGGCTAAGCAGGATTAGTTTTTGTGAAACTTGGCCACTTAAGCTAATGAAACTAATTGTTTCCAAAGCTAATTAGTTCCTACAATAAAAGGGAAAAGGTTCTAGAAGGACGGAGAGAGTCAGAGAGAATATTTCTTCTAGAGTGGTAGAAGAGAAAGGGGAATAGAAGGAAAATTAATGCGAATTCAAATTCGTCTTTTTGGACTTGTGAATTGAGCACTTAGGTGATTTAGAAAACATTAATTGGGTTGTATAAGTAAAAGTAATATCGTTAAGCAACAATTACTCCATATATTCTCTTTGTTGGAGACTAAGAAAGATTATTTTTGGTAAAATTTGGCCACTTAAGGAAATGAAACTAATATTTGCCTAAGCTAATTAGTTCATAGAAGAAAGGAGAAAGGAGAGAAGGTTGGAGAAGGACGAAGTGAGTTGGAGAAAAACTATCTTCTTCAGTGATAGAAGAGAAAGTTAGAGAAAAGAAAGGGAATTAGGATGAAAATTAAAGGGAATTCAAATTCATCCTTTTGGAATGGAGAATTGAACACTTAGGTGATTTAGAAAATTTTAAATGAGATGCTTAACTTAAACTAAAATCGTTATGCAACAATTACTAAGTAAAATCTTTTTCTTGGAGGCTAAGAAAGATTAGTTTCAGTAAAACTTGGCCACTTAAGCTAATGAAACAGTTCGTTGCCCAAGCTAATTAGTTCCTAGAAAAAAAGGGAGAGAATGTTGGTGAAGGGCGAAGAGTGTTTGAGGGAAACTTTCTTCTTGAGAACTAGTTGAGAAAGTTAGAGAAAATAAAGGAAAATAGGATGAAAATTACAGGGAATTAAAATTCGTCCTTTTGGACTTGAGAATTTAACACTTGGGTTATTTGGAAAACCTGAAATGACTTGTTAAAATTAAACTAATATCGTTAAGCTACAATTACTCCAATTCTCTTTCTTGGAGGCTAAGCAAGATTAGTTTGAGTGAAACTTGGCTTCTTAAGCTAATGAAACTAATAGTAGCCTAAGCTAATTGGTTCGTAGAAGAAAAAGTAAAGGTTGGAGAAGGATGGAGGGAGTTATAGAAAAACTTTCTTCTTGAGTTGTAGAAGAGAAAGTTAGAGAAAACAAAGGGAATTAGGATGAAAATTAAACGGAATTTATCGCGATCCTGATTTTGACCCTACCTTTGTTGTATTTCCAGACTCGAATTCTGTTGTTTAATATTGTTGTCCATGTCTTATTTTCCCTCTTGTGTCTTTGAGTTTGAGTTATAAAATGTGTTGGGCGTGTTTGGAGCTGGTTGGTTGTTAGTTGGCCTAGACTGATGTTGCCCAGATTTTGACTTTTTCACTCGAGCGAAGCTTCTTGCGTGCTCGAGCGAGCTTTGTAATCTCCCAATATTTCCTTCAGACCTGCGTCTGTAAAACTTCTAAAGATATATATTCTGTGCTCAAGGGACGCTTCTTGCGCTTCAGCAAGGGCTCTTATTGTGTCTGGTCACTCGAGCGACAACTCCTTCGCTCAAGCGAGCCTCACATATATCAATTCACAGCAGAGCAGTTTATATCGCTTTTTGATTTCCTTTTTATTCAAAACCCTAAATCAGCTCCTCCTCTCTCTACAAATACACCTAGATTTAGGAATCTCTCAACCCTAGTTCCTTTGTTAAAAAGATAGAGCATCTTGTGGGCTTCCATTTGATACGAACAAAGTGGACTTTGGGCATTCTTGAAGTTCTTCCTTTTCGCCTTTGAGCTTCTACTCTTGAGATAGGGATACTCTACAACTTAATATGGGTTTTAACCTACATATTTGTTGTTATGTACAAAGATAAGATTTGGGAGTCATTTTGGGTAAACTATGGTTTGGCCTCAAATTAAAAGAGGGGTTTTCCATGTTGGGTTACAAAATGAATATGGGGCTTTGATTATGAAGCTCACTTGTGATTGAATGGTGAAATTTAGCCTTTGGGTTGATATTTGGAAAAAGGGGGAAATCTACCCTAGTTTGTGTTGAATAATTATTTTTGTGTAAACAATTGAATTGGTATGAAAAATGTGAAATTGGGAGGATGTATGAATGAATGGTGTCGTTGGATTTATTAAATCACTCACGTATGTAAATTTGATAATTTGTTTGTTATAAAGATTGTATATCTGCTTAGAAATAACTGTACTAGGCTATCGGTGGAGGATAGTTATGAGTGTTGTAGAAATTGCATGATGATTAGGTGAATTAAAACTACTCATTTAATTGTGTCATTGAATATAACGGTATCTTTAAATACATTGTATATGTATAATGTTTGGGAGGAGAAAGGGGATGGACTCCATTGAAAATTAAGTTGGCCGGAGTGTCTAAGGTGAAAGTCCCGAAATCTTATGTATACATGGGTGCCGATCGCGCGGACAAAATTTTCGTAACATGGCAAGATTGAAGTATTTATATGATAGTTATGTTGATTGAAAATCACTGAGTTGTACTCTCAATTGGGTTATTTAAAAAATTATAAACGTGGTCTTTGAGTTGAAATGAAATAAACTACCTTGAAATTGATAGATGGAAATGGATTGAGATATGAATATCAATACTAAATGATCATGGGATGAATGTAAGTTAGTCATGAATATTGAACATTTATCGGACACTAATATTTTAGTTAAATCTCATATATTATGTTAGTCTATCTCTACTGGGCTTTGGCTCACCCTGCTTGGGAAACCATTTTCTGGTACCGGTGGCATGCTTCCATAGACTTGTATGAGCAAACAGCACCCGATTGGACTTCCCGTTACAAAATTAATGTGTTTAACTATTTATTCAAGTCGAGGGCTTTATATTTTGTTGGAAAGATGTAAGCCTGTAGGGCATATATTTTGTTGCTATTAACTAGTGGTGCATCTGTTGTTTCAGAATGAATGTTTATGAAAGTATAATGCATGTTATATCTTTCGTAATACGAACCCTAATGAATGGAAACACATTAATTCTATTACATTCATTTCTCTTATGAGTTGGGAGATAGTGGTAATATATAATATGTAAGTGGCATATAATGGGTTATGATGATGTTTGTAATATCTCCTATATAAGGAGTGTCATTTGGTCTTGTAAGATAAGAAGTTTTGAATATAACAGAAATATATTCCTTCTTCCTCATATTTTTCGGAGTTCTTCTTCTTCATATTTTCTAAGTCAAAGCAATATGGTCTCCTTACTTATGGTCATAATCAATTTGATGGTTTATTATTCTCATTATATGTGCAGAATATTAAGTCCTGTAGTTTGTCCTATTGGGAAAACTAACAGGTTATCATTGAATAATTCTTTTGTAACTTAGTGATCATCTTTTGATGTAGTCATTGTTAAGTGACCTAATAGTTGTACTACTTGGATGGATGGATGGTGTGACAACCTTTTTGTCCCCGAAAAAACTGCACTCTTGAACTATCGCCAGCAATAATTCTATCTAAAGCCTCCCCCTCTTGACTCCACAGGATATATATATATATATATTTGCAAAATAGATGATAAAGAAAATATTGTAAAATTGATAATAGTCAATCATTCTCATGATTTGATTGTCACTGGAATTGCAGGTAAGCAGTAGTTTATTGCAAGAAACTGGGAGCACAGGGAGCAGTAAAATTGGGACCATCCTTGGTTGGGGAATGGCAGCCATCTACATGAGCGGGCGGCTTCCACAAATTTGCTTAAATGTGAGAATTTCCATGTCAATTTTTTAGTCCTCTGCTCCTACTATAAAGTTTTTATTGTTTCTGTTGGTGGTAACAGATACATCCAAACTGAGATTGCATGTGTAGCATGATTAGTATTGGAAAAGAGAAACGGGCAGATCAGATATAGATTCCTTCCCCTTTTGATGCTTTTCTAATAGCTTGTTATTTATCAAGAGGATTACAGAAAAATTCCTAAAGAAAAAAATAATAATAACTTGTATTTGGTGTTGACTGTTTTTATTTATCAAAAGTAATAGTAATAATAATAATAATAATAATAACTGGGCTGATCAGATATTTGGCATGAATTTGCAGAATGGGTAAACGAGTAAATAGAAGAATACTTGCTTTTTTGATTGACCTCATTTCTGTAAATTGGCTTTGAAAACCTTTCCATTTGTTTCTCAAACTTCATTTAATCTGTTTTAGATTGACAAGTCGATTACAGAAAAACTCCTAAGGAAGAAAAAAAATAATAACTAGGTTGATCAGATATTTGGCATGAATTTGCAAAATGGGTAAACGAGTAAATAGAAGAATACTTGCCTCGTTGATTGACCTCATTTCTGTAAATTGGCTTTAAAAACCTTCCATTTGTTTCTCAAACTTCGTTTAATTTGTTTTAAATTGACTAGCCAATTCAATGCTAATATTAGAAAATGGAATGCATATTATCAAATCTAACTTCTTGCTGATTCTTGACATGCAGATTAGAAAGGGCAATGTTGAGGTAAGCATTTCCTCCTTTGATGTTCAGTACATAAATATTTATATGTAGTTCAAATTTAGAGTGGAAAAATAGGCCCATTGCTTTGTGTAATTGTAAAAACTCTAGAGGTTTAAGTCTGAATGCAGCAGACACTTTGTGCAAAAATAATGCCAAAGCTTAGGCCTGTACCTGCTTCAACCCTCTTCGTACCCTCTATGTAACGTCCTTTTTTCTTGTAGTAAATCCAGAGGGGAAAGTTTTTGGTCCTACAATGCACAATTTTTCTATCTACCCATTACCATAAAGTATATTACATTTGCATATTATTTATCTAAAATTCTCTCTTCTGACATGCAGGGGCTTAATCCATTAATGTTTGTTTTTGCTCTGGGTGGGAATATAACATATGTAGCAAGGTGAAAATGACAATTGCATTTTCTTTTTTGGATTCTAGCCATGTTGCTTAGTCCATGTCTTCCTTTTCCTTTTTCTTATCTTCTAGTGGCGGTTATAACTACCAAGAGACCTTTACCAGCTAAGCTACCAGAACCTTTCATTTTTTTCACATTTTGTAGTGTTATCTATGGTTCGTAGATGGGGATGAATTGCTTATGTCTATGGGGACATGTGATGTTTGAGACATTAACTCCCATAAATAATACAAGGGTTATGACCATAGACATACACACACAAACATTGACCTTCCATTGTTTTCTTTTAATATATGTATGTGCTTGTAGTTCCATTTCTTAATATTTGTTTTCTTTTAGTTATATATATTTTAAGCTGGACAAAATTTGCGTAATCAACGTGAAATTTTTTTTTTTGATTCTGGTTGATGAATTTATTCACACAATTTACATCACAAGCATAAAAATAAAACAATCACACAAAGATAGAGGTTCACAATTTTTAACGTGGAAAACCAACTGGAAAAAACAACAGGACCTAGTCCAGCTAACCACTCCACTATCACCAAGAACAAAAATACATGTTGCAACATACAACCCAACACCAACCAAATCCACAAATTTTTGCTGGTGTGTTCCTTGTACTGACTGAATCCACCATCTTTGTCTTCAATGGATGATCGAGTATCAAATCCACAATGCTCTTCTGGAATCAACCACGACCTGAACATGATCCACCAAACCAATCTTGGAATCTACCAAGTCAATCACCACTGTATGAAGAATGATGGGAAGAGAGCTTTGAGATGGATCAATGCGTAGCTTAATAGCATATGATTGCTTCTCTTGTTCTCAATACTGCTACATGTCCCCGAATCATAGAGTAGAACCAGATGGTTAATTTTCTATTGGGAATATTGAAATGTTAGTTGTCTTTATATTTCTAAAGGTGCATATCATAAGAAAGTTTGTTATATTCTCAGTGCAGCTTTCTTTTGTGTATTGTTATTTTTTTATTATCAAAGTCATAATATGTTTCTTTACTAATCATGTTTTTATAATCAAAGTACTCAAATGTTTCTTGTGTGCAGTATACTTGTGAGCAGCTTGGAATGGTCAAAAATTAGTGCAAATCTGCCATGGCTGGTGGATGCTGGAGGATGTGTGCTTCTTGATACTTTTGTATCCTTGTACATGTATAATTGTGCAGTAGTGGTTCTCTGTACATATTAGAATGCTAGGCAAGGGGGCTGCAGTTTTTGTACTAATTGCTAAAGTTGGAACTATTTTTGCCCCTCCCTGCATGTAAACCAAGATGTTGGGGGCTGTTTGGTGCAGCTTATATGAGCTGTTTATAGCTTCTTCTTTTTTGGAATTTATGCCAGATTATTTGGTGCACCTTCTACTTACAGATTATTAGGCTAAAAATAGCTTAAATAAACTAGAAATAGTTGATTATTTGAAAGGTGAGGGAGGAGTGCTTTTGGCTTCTACTTTCTGATTATCATTTTTTAGCTTACAATAAGCTGCACCATGCAAGCCCATTATGATCCCAAAGGAAATTAGTTTTTCTCACTTTGTGTAGAACTTAATGTGTCTAGATACTAATGCAATTCATCTATTTCCACTCTCGAACACCGCAAGATGCCAAGGGTCAAAATTCGAACCATTCTTAAAAGACAACGGAACATAATGCTTCCCAGGTATCTCTCTCTCTCTCTCTCTCTCTGTGTCTCTTGTGTGTGTCCTCTGCATCTCTTCTCACTCTTGAAAAGTGCAACTTAATGTTGGTGAAATGCATAGGGAAACAAACTATGACTTTTCTTTGGCTGTTAGATGATGCCACCAGTTAAATTGTGATTTCCTTGCAAAGGCACAAATCTAGAGTTGGTACACAAAGCTTCAAAAGCTCTATAGGATTTGGGGAACTCTTAGATGTGTATTAAAAAAGTTAGGAAATGACAAAATGTAGGGTATAAACTGGTTTTGTAGAGAATATATGTTTCATTCAATTAGGGATGTATATTGGATCTGACAACCTGGTAACCTAACAAACAGAAAATTTATAATTTCTCTCTTTTTCTGATAGCTCAACATGATATTATCCCACGTTATTGAAAACTAGATCACAAGTTTAGGTTATGTTTAAATGACAGGAATCTGTAGGGAGAACAAGAATCCCATTACTAGTAATAAAATTCTCATGTCAACGTTATTCAAGAGTTTGGTTTCGTTAGGAATCCTCAATAGGAAAATAATAAAATTAGCAATATTGTAGGGCCTAATTATTTTTTTAACTCTTAAAAGGTTAACATTCATCGTAATGTGAGATTCCCATGGTTAAGTGGGGGGATAGGATTGCTATTTAGTTTGGGAATGTGATCCCTAATAAAATACATAATCAGGAATCACTATTCCATTCTCATTCCCCCTCACGATTACCGTCATTCAAATGTAAACTTATACTATGTTTGGTTGGGGGATTTGGAAAGGAAAATGGAAAATGTAGGCGAAATGTGAATAAATATACTGACATTTCACTTAGTTTCACACTTTTTCTCTTTTCCTTTCCCTTTCCAAATCTTTTTCCAAATCTCTCAACCAAACACAGCGTTAATGTTTTAGTGTGAGGATTTCAAAACTTTGAACTTGAATCACTGGTGGCATGAATGTTTTGAGTGGCTCCGAAAAGAATGTAGCTTTTAGAAGCTACAAGGACAATATTGAGGGGCATAGTTTCTAAAATTATACATCTGTTCATTGTTACAAAAATGATCAATCATCTAAATAGTGATAAAATAAGATCCAAATATCCAAGGGTTAAATTTTTGTCATCCCCTATATGTAATTTTCTATTTTTGTGATTTTTTATTATTATTATGTATATATATTTTTTTTTTTTCTCCCCATCTATTGTAGGGCATCTCTTTGCAACTTACCTATGCAATAACACCCATTTACGGAGCTGATGTGAATGAAGCCCTTGTTGTGGCCTTTCTAACCAGACCGAACAATGGACATCTGAACTTGAAAGTTCTCCTGGCTTTCCTTTGATGGAAACCACTCTTGATTTTGTTTTGTTCAGAGATGATTTAGCTGTTGCAATTGCTTTTAATATTTTTGTTTGATGTACAGAGCAGGACATATTTCTCTCTGTTCAGTTTCTTTTCAAAGCAAATGTAGAATTTTATTTTTGTTGTTGATACTCTTTTCTTTTGTGTTCTTTCGAGAGTTGTAGAATGGTTGCTGACATTATATTATCTATCAGCTAAATCTGCAGAAACTTTGTTTTGCAAATATAATTTCAGTGTTCTATTATTTTTTGCTGTTGAGTGCAATTTATTTAGGATTATAGGATCATTACTATATTGCAATTGCGTTTTTTTTTTTTTTTTCCTTTCTGCAGGAATTAAATCGCATTGGAGCAGCATGGCATTTTATTATCGTGTTGGTTGTGCCAGTGCAAATATGAAGTTACCATTGTTAACTTGACCATATGTTGTCATCAAACTTATTTTCATAAGGTTTGGTGATTGAACAGTGTTATTGTAAAGGGGTGAAAAATCGCATTACAATTTACACCCTTCATTTTTGTTTAGTACAATTTTTGTCCCTTTTCAAAATTACCATCAAGGCTCAAATCCTAGAAACTGAAAACACAAATTGCTCATCCCACTAACTCATTTCATTCCCCACCTTTGCCAACACTACACCAGCACCTTCTTCTTTCTTCTTCTTCTTCAAACCAAACCCTAGAACTCCTTGTGTTGCAAGGCTCTCTGGCTGTGGCGGTGGGGTTTCCGAGAGAGGTAACAGTGCAACAGATGTCGTAGAATGTCCACTTTTGTTGAAGTTCTAAATTATAGAAATGTTGTCGCATAGTGACATGGCATTTTAGCACAATGTCAACCAACTTTTTCCTTCTTTGTTAGGTGGTGTTTAGGTTTTATTTTTTAAATATTTTTTTGTTGATTTTTTTTCTATCTTTTTGTGATCTTTAAAAAAAAATATATTTATATATTTACGTTCTACACAACTAGACGAATAAAAAAAAAATACTAATTACATCAAAAATTGGGGAAAAAAATACAGACTATATAAAAATGATGTGTTATTTTATTTTTATATTCCTTTCAACAACTTAATTTTAAATTTTTTTAAAAAAATTTCTAAAATAAATTTTTGAAAACCAAACTAAACATAAAAGTGTTTATGTAAATACTGTTTACACTTCGTCCTCAAAAAGAATTCAAATATTCCTCTTTATATCATAAAACTAACTTTTCTTGAAGTCGTGGTCTCTTTATTGCCATGACATTATTCTGTTCATTTTTTTATTAAAAGAAAAATTCCTTCATGCTCAATGGTTGGATTTTTGTTATGGAGTGCACACAAACTTTGTTAATATCTTTTAAATTGTAAAGAGTTTTTTTCTAAGACACTAAAAACTATGAACTTAAATTTGCAAGTATATAACAATTTTTTAAAATAAGAAGAGAAAAATACTGGATACCACTAATTTAGCACCACTAATGCATCAGTAATGATGTGGCATTATGTAGACCCCACCATTGATGTGATAGCTTGGCCTTTGTTTTATTTTATTTTATTTTTCTTTACATTACCACCTCATTAGCGGTGTTTTTAAAGCTTCAAATTTAGTGCTCTAAATCACCACTCATAAGAAAATCCTAAATGGTTGTCAAGATTCATTAGTTGTTCTCTCTATCAAAGACAAAAATATATACTCTAAACAAATAATGAATAAACAAAACAATATAATCCGGTTTAAAAGAAAAAACACAATTTCAGATGTTATCATAAATTTGTTAAGTTCAACTACTTGAAAGACAAAAAAATTTCCCTTCAAGTAATTTTAGATTTTCATATCTCTAGAATAACTTTAAGTCAATTAAGCCAGTCTGATCCATCCTTCTAAATCTATCTCCCTTTTGATCCTCCAATGACAAAGTCCCTGATTCTCACTCACCATTCTTGAAGACCTACTTATCATTCTCACACATTATTCACTCACCAACTACCATCTATCATTCAACAATCTTCTCTTATAAATTACAACACAATTTTCACATTTTCTATATTTTCATATCCTCTATTTTACTATAATGTACAATTTCAAAAGGACAATTTTTAGCGGAGAATCTAATGAAGATATAATGATGATAATGTTAAGAGTTTCAAATAAGACAAGTGAAATGAACAAATCAACCAATCAAATATGTTGTTCCACAAGTGGTAGACGATACATCGATCGTTATAAAATCAGAGGCGACAATCAAATACATAAAAATTACTTTGTAGAGATCTTGTCTATCTAGTAAACATCTTTCGACAATCAATTTTCTTTAAAAAGTCCACAAGACAAAAGGCTGGAAAATGTCAATTTTATTTGCTTTTGTATCTTTTGACAGATTTTTTTCCCTCGCAAATTAGGTCTACTTAAAATTGGCAAATTCAGTCTATTTAAAATTGGCATTATTATGTCGTTAACAGATTTTTCTTTTTCCCTTTCAAATTTGTTCCATTTTTGCGTTCAAATAATTTGTTCTATTTTTTTAAAAAAAATTGGGCTCTAGTCAACTACTTATATATAGAGTGAGGTGCAAATAGTTTGGCTTGGCTTTTATGGTTGAGAAAATGACACATTATATATTATGAATCAATTTTATCAATTTTATTGGTTTGGCAAAAATGATATTTTAAATGGATTTATAAAAATTTAAAATTTCACATTGTACATAAATAAATAAAAATATGAAAGTTGCATTATAAATGTCTCACTACATAATTTTTATTACAAAATATATATTATATTGGTCACTTATCTTCTAATGCTTAAGGATTTACAGTGTAAAAGTACTATAATATTTTAAAGGGTGCAACTGTACCACAAACACACTTGTACCCGTAATGTATTTGTAATTTTTTTTTCCCAACTTTTATCTGCACGCAATTCTCCCTTTAATTTTGCATATAAACTGATGCTAAAAAATAGCCTAGTTTAGGCTAAAAATCACAAAAAGACAAAATAGACTAAAATAACTAATAAGGCAAAATATCATATCAAACCCATAATCATTTCACTTTTTCTCTCAGAAACATCACAACCAACCACAAAAAAATTCAATCATCTTCTCAAACACAAAATTTTAATCTACTAAAATAGCTAAAAACTAAAATAGCCTACTAAAATAATCACTTTCCAAACGAGGCCATAATGTGCAACTGTGCAAAACAATTCAATTCATATAGTTGCTGATGCTCGACCCCGAACCCGATAGTTTTTAAACCATACATTGAACTAAAGTACATAATTTTAAAGTAACCACACCCCCAAAACAAAAAAAAAAAAGAAAGAAAGAAAGAAAGAAAATATTAAATCCATTTTGACAGTACTGATCTTTGGAGTAATAAAGCAGAACATTTCATAAAAAAAATATAAAGATAACGTTGTTCGCAAGAGCTCCGGAAACTTCAGAAGAATCACCGGGCCAGTACTAAAAGATTGATGCACCTATGGGGATCTGCACAGTGAATTAAGAACATAAAAACCAATTTCAGGGGAAAAAATGTTTCGGAAACCAAATTCTTTAAAAGAAGTGGCCAAATACAAGGGAAAGTTTGAGGTATATATAAAACTAAAAACATACAAGAAGAATTTTTTTTTCCCAAATATATATGTGAGATTAGGTTGTTGCAAAAACAATGGATATAGTAACATAAATAAACCAAAAAAAATTACATTTTCAGGATACAGTATTCATTGTGACATAAATTATGAGAAATCAGATTAGTGAAAAGCACAAAACAGTTCAAACAAGTTGCAAAAAGTCATTTAGTAGAGATACATCACTCACTCTCAGTGAAAACAGGTTTGGAATTTATGCAAGTACAAACCTAGCTTCAAACTAGTAGCCACAGCCAACTTGAAAAAATGAGTCAAATGAGGAAAAAATTGATGGCAAATTGCCAATGAAACACGGTGATGGTATCAAATTGAATGAGTAGATTCACAAAAGCATAAGAGAATACAAATTAACTCAATCCTCAAAGTTCAGCATCACCAGAATCCTAAATATTAAACCTTGAGTAGTTATAAATATTTTGTCCTTCAAATCAAACTATGAGCATCCTATACTGGTCCCATCTTGAGCCGCCATATACCCCCTCAAGTTAACTTTAAAATTTTGGATTAGATAATTGCTTATACAATGAAGCAATAGATGATAATGGCAACTATTCTACATGTATTTGGCATATTCATAACCTGTAAACCTAGATGGAGTCACATAAAGACAAAAAGATACAGGAAAATGGTAGTAATTTTCTTTTTTTTTTTTTTTGATCATCAGGAAAATGGCAGCAATAGATTATAGAACCAACAAATAGTGCGGTAAAACAAAAATTACAATTATTATTATTATTTTTTATAAATGAAACAAAAATTACAAATAAGAGAATGAGGTCTAGGCAAAATGCCCATGCCACGATCAATTCAATCAGGAAAATTCTTTAAGGCTGTGTTTGGTTGAGAGATTTAAAAAAATAAAAATAAAAATAAAAAAGGTAGGTGAAATGTGAATAAAATATACTTACATTTCCACCTAGTTTCATACACCTTTTTCTCTTTTCATTTTCCTTTTCATTTCTAAATCCCCCAACCAAACACAACCTAAGTGTATACGAAGAGAATAACATGTTAGAAATCAAAAATAAGTAAAACATTACTGACTTGAAGCTAAAGACCAAGAAATTAAAATAATAACTAAATAAATCCACAGGTCCAAAAGATGGTCTTAGATAATAGCCACTAAACCAACACCATCATCAAACCAACCTAACAAAATAGTTCATCATCACCAAGGAAGCACGGATACGGATACGAATACGATACGATACGATACGGTAAGGCGATACGACAAAATTTGAAAAACTAGGATACGGGTACAGCGGGGATACGTTCGTAAAAAATATTATTTTAACAATTTTTAGTAATGTAGTATGCATAAAAATAAAACTTAAAGCAAAAGACAACTTGATAAAGAAGAAAGATTCCTACAAAACTAAGAGTCTTCAAGGTCAATAACTTCAACTTGTTCCCCTTCATCAGTGAATATCACAAGACCTTAGCTAAAGCTAAAGCTAAAGCCAAAGCCAAAGCCAAAGCCAAAGCCAAAGCCAAAGCCAAAAAATCATTCTTAAATAAAAATTTCAGCAAATATACTTTTTTAAGTCATCAATGATAGCCTAGGCAGCACGGATACGAATATGGTGATATGGCGATGTGGATATGGCAATATGTCAAAATTTAAAAAAGTAAGATACGGGTACAGCGGGGATACATTCATAAATTTTTTTTTTATATAATTTTAATAATGTAATATGCATGAAAATAAAACTTAAAGTAAATTAAGAACCCCTGATTCTCTCTTATACTCAACATTTCACTATTCCTAGCTTAAAAATCACTCCTTTATTTGTACTCTAACAATGGAAACATGTATAAGAAGTGAATCAATCTGACAAGTTTATAGTAGAATAGTTGTGTTTCCAATCATACCTCTATTACATCTAGTGACCCATGTAAGGCCTAATGCCACCCATGTTCCCAACTCCATGCTGCGACCTAATCGAACCACCTTGTCCAATCTGCTGATTCTGATTCTGATTCTGATACCCCATCTGATGATTCCCATAACCTCCCGTAGCTCCCGAGCTCACACTACCACCCACCACACCCTGGTTCCCATACCCACCCTGCATTCCATGGCTCGCACCAGGCACCGTGGGGTTCACCGAACTACCCACTCCAGTACCGCCAAGCGTGCCAAGCAAGTTAGTCAGCCCCAAACTCGCACCCTGAGTCGCAAGCAACGCTGTCAAAGCCTGTCCAAGAGCCGGGTTCAGACCCTGCACAGCTGCTCCCTGATTGTACGTTGGCCCAGAAGGTGCCATCAAATGCCCCGGTCCCGATGCCGACCCAACAAAACTAGTAGTCTCATTCCTCTGGAATTGAGGGTTATGCAAATTAGGGTTATGAAGGGAATGTGATTTGCTTTGTTTTGGACCATCAATTGCTCTCTGGCAATGCAAAATGTGCCCTTCAAAGTTCTTATGAGGCTCCATTAATGCCTTCTTCGCACTCTCGATTGTCCTGTACACGAATAGACAAAACCCTCTAGGCTGCCCAGTCTGCTTATCGAGCCCTAAAGGCCCTTCTTCAATCTCACCGTACTTGGAAAAAAAAGAAACCAGCTTTTGGGGATCCAAATCAGCCGACACGTTGCTGACGTAGATCTTCCTCTGCGTGTACTCCGACGCCGGCGCCGGCGGAAGCGGAGCAACGGGCACCGCGGGGGTCTTGAAGAGGATAAATCCATAGCCCTTGGATTTGCCGGAGATCTTGTCGCAAACGGCCTTGCAATCCTCGATCTCGCCGTAGTGCTTGAAGGCGTTGATTAGGGTTTCGGAATTGGTGTCCCATCCGAGGCCGTGGACGAAGATCTTGCGCTGGGAGGGATCACTGTTGGCGATCTTGTAGATGCGATTGGCTACATCGGCGTGATTCTCGGCAGCCTCGGAGAGCAAATTAATCAACTGTTCTTTGCTGAATGGTTCTAGAAGCTTCTGGAAAGGCTCCTCGTCGTCATCGTCTTCTTGTTCTTCGTCGTCGTTGTCGTCGCCGTCTTCGTAGTGTTGTTGGTCTTGGTCTTCTTCGTATTCTTCAGGTCCTACTACTCCATCCATGGCTTCTTGATCATCGTCTTGTTCGTCTTTAACGTAATATTGAAGTTGCTGTACTTCTCTTTGCTGCTTCTTGAGTTGGGGTTCGGTCGATTTGGGCACGAGTTTTCGTTTTCTCGCCATTGTTGTTGTTGGGTGGTGAGAGAGTACAGCGTCCGCAGAGTGAGAAGCACAAGTACCTGAAAAAACGAGAGAGAGAGGGAGTGAAGGATGTCCGGCGGGCGGCCAAGGCGAGGCTGCCGCCCGCTGGTGAAACAGAATTACTAGCTTCTTAACTTGGCTCTGATACCATGTAAAAATGTATGTATTTATTATTGATTGATTGTCGTATATATTGATTTAGATTACAATTACAAGGATTCCTATATATAGAAGAAAATGTGGTAGTAGGTGTAGGAGTGAAGTGGAGGTGGTAGGTGGAGTGTGTGATAGTGGAGGTGGTAGGTGGAGATAAATTCTAACAGCCCCCCGCAAACTCAAGGAGGAGAGAAACTAACCAACTTGAGTTTGGAGAGAGTAACAAAACAAGAAAATACATAAAAATAAAAATAAAAAAGGATCGTCTCTTTCGGGTTCTTGTTCTTCGTCGTCGTTGTCGTCGCCGTCTTCGTAGTGTTGTTGGTCTTGGTCTTCTTCGTATTCTTCAGGTCCTACTACTCCATCCATGGCTTCTTGATCATCGTCTTGTTCGTCTTTAGCGTAATATTGAAGTTGCTGTACTTCTCTTTGCTGCTTCTTGAGTTGGGGTTCGGTCGATTTGGGCACGAGTTTTCGTTTTCTCGCCATTGTTGTTGTTGGGTGGTGAGAGAGTACAGCGTCCGCAGAGTAAGAAGCACAAGTGACTGAATAAGAGAGAGAGAGAGAGAGAGAGAGAGAGAATGAACTGGGGTTAGGGTTTGCCACTCGTACGGTGACTCATCCTCATTCACTTCAGCTGAGAAATTAATTTATAAATTTGGAATGATTTAAATAAACTTAATTTTTTGACTTTTTATAAAAGTATGTATAAAAAAATAAAAAGACAATTACTTTACTTGCTTCTCTTTTTTTAAAAATAATTTTCAGAAAATTCTATACTTTTATTTTTCATTTTTTTGTTTTTATTGAATTTTTTTAATATTTTATGTAAATTTTTTATTTTTTAGACACACATAACATAAATACATCTAAAAAGTAAAAAAAATGTAAATTTTTTTTTTAAAAAATTCACTAAATACTAAAAATATAAAAAAAAATACAAGACTTTAGTACATTTTTATGTATTTCTTAATTTTTTAAAATATTTTTTAACAATTTTTTTTACTTTTTAGACACATCTAAGTAAGGTGTATCTAAAAAAGTAAAAAAAAATGTTTAAAATTTTAAAAATATTCACTAAAAACAAAAAACACGAAAATCAAAAAATTCAATTTTTAAAAAACTTAATCCAGAAAACTCAAACCAAACACTAAAAAAATAAAAAGTATATTTATATAGTATATTCCAAACAAAATCCTATATTTTTAAATAAGTCATATTTCAATATTAAAGACACTTAGTTTCATACACTTTTCCCTTACACTATGTTTGGAAACTTAGGAGAGAAAAGAAAAGAAATGATTACTTAAGTTATAAAAGAAAAGAAAAGAAATGAAATGAAATGAAATGATTGTGATTTCTCTCCTTTTTGTTTGGATAAAGAAGAAATGAAAGAAAAGAAATGATTGTGATTTCTCTCATTCTTGTTTAGTTATATTTCATTAAGAAAAAAGAAAAGAAATTATTCTATGTTATATTACCAAAATAACTTTTTTTATTTTTAGCCATTTTATTTCTTTTATTTTTATAGGGACAAAATTGATATTATAAAAATAGTGATTTCTTTTCTCTCTCAATCTCTCCACTTTTGGAAAGATTGAAAATGAGGCTTATAAGATAAATGAGTTTCTCTCTATTTCTCTCTATTTCTTTCCATTTCTCTCCACTTAAGTTATCCAAACAAGTAAGAGAAATACATATCTTTCCATTTCTTTTCTTTTTTCTCCAAATCACTCAATCCAAACATAGTGTTAGTTTTGAGGAGATTCCGAAAGAAAAAAGACAATATGACCTAAAAAAATAAAAAGTATACTTATATATTTTGGTTGAGAAATTTGAAGAGGGATTCGAAAAGAAAAAAAATAGAAAAAATAAATAAAATGTGAATAAATTATATTTACATTTCCACTTAGTTTCATACCCATTTTCTTTTTTTATTTCCTTTCCATTTCTAAAACCTTCACCCAAACACAGGCTAAGCCTAAGCCTATATGAAGAATAACATGTTAGAAATCAAAAATAAGTAAAACATTACTAACTTGAAGAGAAAGACCAAGAAATTAACATAATAACTAAATAAATCCAAAGGTCCGAAAGATGGTCTTAGATAATAGCCACTAAACCAACACCATCATCAAACCAGCCTAACAAAATACTTTCCTATCGCCAATACCCTGGCACACATTCCCGGATAAGCAAACTTAAGCTTTAAAACCCTAAACTAAGATAATATCATCCTAAACAAAAACCCAATTCCTTTGCACACAATATGATATGATAGAGATCTGATGCTAGGATTATATTAATTGTTACTGAAAATATAAACTACTACTAAGATTACATGATCTTTGGAATAGCATACATAAATCACATCAAATGTTGCATAACACATGCTACGAGTCTACTGGAACTACATAAATTTCGCAAATCAAATCCTCAAAACAATTTAAGAACCCCTGATTCTCTCTTATACTCAACATTTCACTATTCCTAGCTTAAAAATCACTCCTTTATTTGAACTCTAACAATGGAAACATGTATAAGAAGTGAATCAATCTGACAAGTTTGTAGTAGAATAGTTGTGTTTCCAATCATACCTCTATTACATCTAGTGACCTAAGTAAGGCCTAATGCCACCCATGTTCCCAACTCCATGCTGTGACCTAATCGAACCACCTTGTCCAATCTGCTGATTCTGATTCTGATTCTGATACCCCATCTGATGATTCCCATAACCTCCTGTAGCTCCCGAGCTCACACTACCACCCACCACACCCTGATTCCCATAAAAAAATAAAAAGTATACTTATAAAAAGTATACTTATATGTTACACTCCAAACAAAACCTTATATTTTTAAATAAGTCATATTTCAATATTAAAGACGCTTTTTGAGAGGATAATTTATAAGTAAATTGGGCCGAGCTAGGTAATGGGCCATTCTGTGGGCCGCAGTAAAAATGGGTGAGTAAAAGGGCCTGATAGTTACCACGGTCCAAAAGAGTTTGGTAGTTAGCTCAGTCGGCATGGTCAGAACGGCAACAGTTAGCTCGGTCAAAACCACATTGAGCCGAGGTATTTTGGATTTTTTCTCAGGACCTTGCTGCTGAATAGCTCGGTCTAAGCATGCTATAGATAGCATGGTCTCAACAGGTGAAACCGAAGTACTAGTAACAGAGGAGAGAACTGAGCTAGGTAGAGCTCGGTCGCTTCGGCCAGTTTAGCATGGCTATGTTACCTCGGTCGTTTTGCCTTACTGCCGAGGTAAAACCATCTTACTTGGTTTAAACAGCGAGGGGGGTGTTGAAGGATAAGTGATTCTTAGGAGGACTCTACATGGAGAAGTAAGAGTCCCACTAGGTTTGTGCCATGCGGAACCTATAAAAGCTCATAGCATCACCTATGGAGAGGTAACACAATTTTGATTCCCGAATACACAGAGCTTTTTTGTCTATTTGTCTATTTTTCTGACTTAAACATCGGAGAGATATCCGGCACACCCCCGCCAGCTAGCTCACGTTTGTGTTTTCAGGGAGTAAAGCGACGTCGTATGGAGGAGCACAGACTTGATCAATAGGATTATACGAGAAGGTTTATTTCTTTCCCGTACAATTGGCGCCGTCTGTGGGAAAATCAGACAAAGAACAAAACCTCTTAATCAAGTTTCCCTCGTTAGTTGAATGGCGCACAACGAAGATTTGCCGCAGTTCGCCATCGACGGACAAACCCCAGAGGGGGGGGAAGGATTGCCCTCTATCCCTCCATGGCGGACTTAGAGCTCGACCGACAGAATCCCCGGAGAGATGCAAGGGGGAGGCAAAATAACAGCCCCCGTCGCTCTCGCTCACAAAGTCCTGAAAGGCAAAGGCGAAGAATCAACCCTCAAGCTCTGGAGGATCGCGTAAAAGAGCAAGATGAACTAATAAGAAAGATGGCGGCGGACATGGAGGCCATGAAGCGCCAGATCAAGGGCAAAGGGGTGGCGACAGGAGAGGGGCGCAAAGGCAATACACCTCCTCGCCACTCAGAAGATCGTGGTAGGCATACCACGCCATCGCAAGTAGAGAGTAGAAGCCTCAGACAGGCGACACTTAATCAAGGACTTTCAGAACTCGTTACTCCAGGTCTGAGAGAACGAGATCATTGAGGTCTTACACTGAGGGAAGTACCTATCGGCCCTCACATACGCACTAGACATCATCCAGGCAAACGGAGTTGCCTAGATCGTCCGACTTACAGACTGTGCTTGAAGAAAGGGCACGACGAAAGGAAGATGCCAAGGCACGCGACCCGCACAGAGTTTCAGCCCTTCAGCGGTTGGCTCCTCAGACGCATGGAAGCGTCGAGGTTGGAATGCCAGTACCGCACCTTGCCTACGAACCAACAGATAAGCATTGGCAAGACTACATAGCTCACCGTTCGTTCCGGCGATTGAGAACGCACCATTACCCTCAGGCTTCATCCAGCCTAAATTTACCACGTACGAAGGGAAGACAAACCCTTACATGCACTTAACCCACTTTCGCTAAGTCATGGCAGCATACCGGCGGAACGAAGCTTTGATGTGCATCTTATTCCCATCCAGCCTTGGCGACCTAGGTTTAACCTGGTTCAAAAGGCTACCAGAAAGCAGCATAGCCTCCTGGGCGCAATTAGCGAAGCGTTTGTAACAAGGTTCAGAACAAACACCAAGACGCCAGTAGAGATCGATCAGCTACTCTCTATTGACATGGGTGTAGACACCCCATTTTTGACCGACCTTGAGACTCAGACGTCACCAGTTGAGCACTTGGTGATATTGCATAATGTGCTTGTTCAGAAAGTTTCAGAGTCTTGGTTGCGAGCCCTGCCTCCGGACTTTCGAACCCTCTTCTGTGCCTTGCCTCGGTTTGCGAACCAGACTCAGTTTTCTCTATTTCTTTTCCTGAGGGGAGGGAGAGGTCCAGTAGACCATCTCTCAGTGGCCGTGGGCTACATTTTGTGGCCGCAGGCCATTTTGCTCATTTCGGAGTCCGGTTTCCGGTTTTTCGGGACCGCCTAACCATCTCCGTTTGCTCTAATTTTTGGCATACGTCTTATTTACTCCCTTTCAAGGGACACTGGGGTCGGAGAAACCCACTTCATGGCCGAATGCCACTTTCGGTGCTTAACAGCCTGTTTTTGGGACCCCAAACTGCGTGTTTTGGCCCCCGAGCATTCGTTTTGCATCGGTTTTCATTCATTTTTGGCAGGTGCCTCTGTTTCATCACCAGGAAGGTCACTGGAGGGTGGGAGGCCAGCAATTATCTTGGCAACCAGTTATATTCCATTTTCGCCCTCTGACACCCGTTTTTTCGCACTTCCGAACCAATGTTGAACACCTTGGGGCCACTTTCTTCAACCCCAAACCACATATTTGTGTTGTACACACATGGGAGGACCCTAAAAGTTTATGACCGGCCAGAAACTCCAATTGAACCTTTTGAACCCCTCCTAAAAATGGCGGCCGGCCACCTGGAGCTCCAAAAAGGGGCCGGCCATGTTCCTTGCAACATCCACTTTACAGCTGTATAGCTGTATCCCCCAGAAAATATCTCAATCCGGGGGATATTTTGTGGGGGAAAACTTGCCTAATTTTTCCCCACCTTTGCCTCTCCTTTACTC